GGCACAAGCGCAGCTATCGCCTGTCCAGTTGTCCTCGCACACACATTCACCCAACACACACGCACCACGTCCTGTCGGAAACAGACACAAGACCATTTTTATAACTGTTGTATCCTTTGCATTATTCTCATTGCTTTTAAATGTGCACTTTTGTGTTGAGAATGAAAGAGTACCCGTCAAAAACTCACCCGCACATAGCAGTCCGTCTTTGTAAGAACAGGAGAAGTCATCACTCTCGCAGTACTTCCCATAGATCGTGCCGAGTCTGCTGTGCTCGCACGTACACCTCCCACATTCACACACTCCACGACTGCTACAGTCCACCTGAGCGCCTTCCGCTCGGCAATTCCAGTTTGATTCGTTAACAAGTCCCCGATGCGGCTTCTGCTCCCAACCTGGGCCGTCGATAGTCCCCGCGCATGGCGAGCGTCCGCTCTCGTGGCAGCGTCTTGTTGACCCACAACCGCACTGACATTTTGAGTGGATCCTCACAGTGGTGGATTCATTGTAGCCCACGGGGCGAACCATCACTTGAATGTCCTCATCGGCACCGTGGTCAGGACAGGTGTGGAGGCCAATGGTGATGTTGAAGTGGACCTGTGTTGAGAAGAAAAAAAAAATATGGAGTTTTGATGCCATGGATGAAGTAAATTCATAATTGGTTCAAATCCAGCATAGGTGCAAGTTACTCTGTTTTTAACAATAGGTACGCCAGGACCGGTCGATTCGGCAGCCGCCTGATAGTTTCCGAGCGCCGGAAAACAGCTTTTTTTTTTTTTTTTTTTTTTTAGGGATGCAATCCCTAAATCCTTGTCTTGATGGTATCATTGGGAAAGCAACTAGATCAGCCAAACTGACAGATGCTAATACACTTTATGTGCTCAAATGTCATATGTCACCATGTTTAACTAAGATGAACTTTCCCTGAAGTGTCTCGATGTGCACCCACACACCGACATGAAAACTAAGCAAGGACGAGCCCGCCGCCCTTCCCTGGGTTTCACTTCGGTGTTGTTAGCTTGTAAGCTAGCTCTTGACACATTCAGTGGAGACGCTCACATTTTTTGAGAGACGGTCTCATTTTGTACAATTGGCGATTTTTAAAAAATATTCTCAGTTCACATTTTTTAACGGTAGTTTGTCAGAGTTTAAAGACATATTTTCATTTGACAGTGACTTTAAACTGTCCGTTACTTGCTAGCTCGTGGGAGACAAATGTATGACTAGTGGGATTAGTGAAAGCTGTACCCTTCCCAGATTTCCTTCATTGTTGGGTGCTCTCTTTTTTTTCCCTTAAATGTCGGCGGCTTATAGGAAAAAAAAAAAAAGGAGGTTGAGCCAAAAATAGCATCTTTGTTCCCCACTTGATAAGGACATTTTCTAGCTAAAGGCTATTGAAATGCCAGCTTCTGTTAAGACTGTATGTGGGTGCGTTGAAAAGGTTTTTATCTTGATAAAGTGGACATTAAGTTCTACTCTAACCCCCCCATCCCCCCAAAAAAAAAGCAGCAGACATTTTGTCTTCGCTTATCAAAGTAATTTAATAGGCGTACACGGTTGATATTAATTAGCATGGAAAAGTATGCACATATTTCATTTTATTTTTAGCGCTACGCCGATAACTACTGAATACTTTCCGTAATTCATTTTCTCTACCCGTGGATTAAAGGGCTGAACTACTGAGGCATGATTCAGTGGGAGGAAAGGAGACTCAAGGGGAGATTAGGGAGTGAATCGAAAGCAAAAGGACAAAACAAAGACTTTGGTTATCTTAACTGAACGCCACTAGATTTTCTTCCATGGGGCTGTGCAAAAATGTCATACAATTCTGCAATTTGGCAGTATTTTCTGAGCACTATTTCAAAATGTTGCAAACAAACAAGTCACGGAATCACATGGACATTTTTTTTGTCTTGGTTGCATTTAATACCTCTTTTAGCCTAATCCGCTCAACTTGGATTATTTTCCCAATATTTCATGATGTGTATATTGTGTGCTGAAAGGAATCCAATACAACTAAATAAGAAATACGAATGACGAGAGAAACACGACTGCGTTGGCATTTGCGGCTTTACCGTCTGATTAGGTTGCACCCCTAAGCAGCCCAGCTCTTTAGCGGTTGCTCCTTCAGGACAGATGGGGGACACGGCCGTCCAGTACCTGTTGAGTGCCTTGTCATCCAATGACACTGACAATGTCACTTCTGTCAACAAGCTCTATTAAAAAATAAAAAAATAAATAAAAAATAGAATTAGACAATGCTCTTGAATTCTGCCAAGATAAAACCTTCCATACTGCCATAGGAATGCAGATGCGAGGGAGGAGAAACAACAGCGCGCGAAAATAAAATCTTTGTTTTTGTACATGGTCGCGACACCTAGTTTGTGGGAAGGAATGGGGAGGGGTCCGATGGCTATTACAATAGCAGCTTCTGTTCAAATTCAGCTGCCTGTGTGTGTGTGTGTGTGTGTGTGTGTGTGTGTGCGTGTGCGTGTGCGTGTGCGTGTGCGTGTGCATGCACCCAGATCTGTGGATTCGGACGATTCTTGAAACAAACAATAGAGCGCTGTGCTGGAAGCGAGATTATAGGCCAGACTGCAGCCACATGAACAAACCAGCAGTCACATACCCACAAACGCATATGCACGCACGCTAGTATGTTTAAATATTCACACTGCTGCAGTCTCCTTTCCAACCTCTGTCTTTCTTTTTGTCATTGCAGGTTTGGACACAGAGAAAAGAGTGGGAAGTTGAGTGCGTACCTTATACGAGTCCACAACTAGATCGATGAGGTTTGGCGACTGGAAGAAGCCGATCTTCCCCAGGTAGGAGCCAGGGAGCAAGCGCACTAACTCCTACAGGGAAAAACATTTGCATCGTGTCATATCCAAGATAACATTTTAGTTTTGAGTGTTAAGAGCTACTAGCAAGGGCTAAACTTTTACGCGATTGAAACTGACTACCCATATATCGGAACAACGTGAACTGACTAGCAAAGAATGCTACATGAATGCTAACCAACTGAAAAGTAGGCTACACCTTATTTGGATGTTCTTTTTTGATATGTTGACAAGGGTTGAAAACGGTAACATTTTGGACAAACGGAGCAGTAGAGCTTACGCATCTGCTTTCAAACGTTGGGGGTTAAGGGACCGGATCAAAGTATTTGTACTTTGCTTGCTTTTTCCATTACTTGTTTTTAGTAGCACCTTGAAAAGTGTGTTGTTTTTATGATGCAAGGGACACATGAATAGTCTTTTCTGTTACCCTAATGGCGGTACTGTACTACATAGCACCAGTCACTCACCCGGTGACTCATGATGGAGAAGGTGACCGTATAAGCTATATACCTTATATGGCTTGGCAATATAGTACGTGCCACTTAAGCAACTGTTTGTATTTTTGAGGAAACGCCATGAACTTTTTATGGACTGAATATTACCTCGTACCACTGGTACTGCTGTTTCTCCACCGCGAAGATGGAGTGAATGTGGTTTTCAAGCAGCTTGTCAGACAACTGGCCCAGACTGGGATGGTCCTGAGGTCAAACGTCAAAAGAGAAAAATTCATTTTGTTTCAGGGTGGATAAGGATGCGCACAAGAAAATCTGCGGCGACCTCCGTGGGCTTCTCCCCGCGCGCTCACCATCCTGGTGCTCCCAGTATAGACGTTGTTTTCCAGGTGACACAGGCCATCGTGCGGAATGACAATTCCTGCCAGTCGGCTGTCCAGGGCGAGGTGAGAGGGCTGGTCGGTCATCAGGAGCAACAGACGCTTGGCCTCTGGACGCCAACCCACAGCTCTCTGAAAAGAAACAAACCTAAGTTATTGGAAATAACATCTGCATACTTTCCCTCCGGGCAGAACGGCTGCGTTTTCATCACTGTTAGGTTGTCTTTGTTTGCAGGATTGCACTGGAAGTGCTTGAGCCATTTCCGCATAACTGCGTGGCATTGTCGGGAAAACAAAGAATTTGAAGTGGAGTCAGCTGAAGGTGAGAGGATTCAAGATTTGTATGTATTTATTTATTTAGACACATTTGTTAATACAGTCAAACCTCGGTTTCCGTCCGTAATCCGTTCCAGAAGGCTGTTCAAAAAACCGAAATTGTTCGAAAACCGAAACCACGCTCTTTTTAAAATAAAAATGTTTATTGAACACGTCTGCTCACAACGGAAAGCAACACGAGGAAGCGTCACTTCCTCGTGTAAGGAAGGCGAGAGGAGTCAAGTGACGCATTCAAGTGCGCTCAGTTAGTTCGAGAACCGAAATTTGTTCGTCATCCGAGGCATAAAAAAATCGAAATTTTTGTTCGAAAACCGAATTGTACGAGAACCGAGACGTTCGAAAACCGAGGTTTGACTGTATTGCATAACGTTGCCCATATTCCTCAGCAAATGCAGCAAGGTGACTATTAAAATCGTTCGCAGCACACTGGAGCTATCGCTACAACTGTACGCAGTCAAAACGTTTTGCACATGCACAGTATATTTCCGAGGCGGGATGTGTTTGCCAATGAGTTTCTCTTTGAGCTGACGTGTCAGCAACACAGCATAAAAAGAGTGGTGTGGAAAATGTAAGCACATACATAACATAACATAACATAACATAACATAACATAACATAACATGCGGTAAGATACTCCAATTTCAAACGTCAGACTCACTCTTTTGGCTCTCAAGGGGGAAAAAAAAAAAGGAATGCTCCCACTAGTCACCCCCCCCCTCGTTTATGTCTGTGTCATAGACTGTGGGAGAAAAGGGGGTCTGTGTGTATATTTAAGGAAAGTCAGCTAGCTAATAAGATAGGCATGACATAATGGAGAGTCTATTTGTGGAGCCGTGAGTTCCGTGGTGTTTCCCTGCAGTCTGGTTACTCAGGCCCCCCTGCATGGCATGACTCAAAGCCCCCCTGCAGGCATCGTATGAACTACTGCCACTGTGTGTGAATGCGTGTGCATGTGTGGCAAGCGTGTGTCAGTCATAGGCGAGTCGGGGCGTCATTTCTTGGGATTCCGGCGGTGCTCTCCGACGCTGAGTCAGAATGCCGCCATTCTTGCCGCAATAAAGGCCTCCCTTGAAACGTTACAACCGACTGGTAAATTTTAAACACTCTCCTCTATTTTTTTGAACTATTAAAAATCAGGCTGGGGGCCAACACGATTAATTAAGGTCAACATTGCCGAAGTGAAAATGAAAAAGGTAAACAACTGAAGTCAGAGAGACCCGCAGCAAGGTTTGAACCTGGAAAATCAATAACGATCTTTTAACTTTATATACCCCCCGCCCCCCCCAAAAAAAACCCGATGGGTTGTGTTTCTAACCCACTCGCTGGGTAGCTGCGGATTTTGAGCAGATTAGGTTACTTCTACCCAAAGTCGGCTTTCTTGAGAGCTTTAACTCATCCCTATAGGTCATTAAATAGTGACAATTGAGCATCACAAAGATGCAGTTATTTTTCTTTAACCCTTTCAGGGACAGCGGTTACTACAGTGGACAGTTTATCGAGTTATTAGGTTCCAGGGTGCACGAAAGGGTTCATGTTATCATTTGTGGAAATTTAGCTATGTCTACTGTTCGTATAAATCAGGTTGACATATAAAAATACCCGATAATACAAAGATGCGAACTCACTTACCTGGCACACAGTCGCCTGCAACATGGCGTCCAGGCCTCCCTCAGGTGTGTCCATGTTACCCGAGATGCGTTGGCGTTTGATCACGCGTGTGAACTCGCTCATATTTCCAGTCATGCTTAAGACGTGGTGGAAGCCGTGGGCGGGTCGGCAGCGGATCTCGTAGTCACTGGTGGGGGGAAAAAAGAAAAAAAAAAGCCCGTCATGGAAACAGTTATTGATTGTCGCGTTCACATTCAAAAGCCTCTTGTTTCAGTCTCCCACTCAGAGCGGTTCAGTGTTTTGGAACAACGGCGCATCCATAAACAAAATGCAAAGTCACGCTGAGTCATATGGCGAATTCTCAGACTTGAGATTGTGAGATGTCCCTTCTAAAAATATATTTGCAATTAAATTAGGGGATGACAATTGGAGGCTAGCGCGTCTAAACTAACGCTCCTGAGGTTGGGGTTCAAATCTTGGCTCCTGCCTTCAAAAAACAAAACAAAACCAAACAAAAAAAACATGTCTTATACCATCGACGTCTCGCCGCTCTCCAAAGTTGTGAGTTTGAATGGTTCTTTGTTTTTATGTTCTCTATGATTGGCTGGCTGGATGGAACAAAAAAAAACGAAATGCACAATCCTCAGACATCCCCTCACCTTTCCTCAGAATCTTATCTCAAATTATTCTTCGTGTCTTATCGCGCCACTTGAACCTTCTGTTCTCAAATCTACTTGTGCTTTTCCAGAATCTTCAAAAGCACACTGAAAGGCAGAGACTTCAACTTTCGGGCTCTTCTCATCTTCCAGATATACGGTATGTATTTCTATCTATTTATACCTCAGAGCAGATGTCGAACTTTCTTTTGTGATTAAAGGGGGCTGGCTCGGGCTTGTGACCTGAATCATCTTTTAGTTATGCTGCCCTGCCATAGACCTTAACTGCTGGAGGAATTTTCCCATGTTGCATGAATATCCTTCTCACCATCACCCCATGATAAGTCTTGGCTCTGTTTCGAGTACTCTTCCATTTATGTACAATTCAGCACAGTACAAAGGCAAACCTTTTTTCACTTTTTTTTTCTTCTCTTGTTCGTGAATTACTGCTCTGAAAACAACATTTAGCACACTTTGCACAGACCGGCACATGAAATCCGACACATACAGCTCCAGGACACCTATTGGAATATGATTGGAATATTTCTACGACAATCAGCAAATAATTCTTCGAACCTGCAGGGGTTGTTGATCTTGGTGGGATGCACGTTAATGTAAGGCGACACCGGCTTGTCCACAAAGGAGCCGAAACCTAGCCAAAGGTCTGAGGAGTATTCCGTCATACGCAGGGACAGAGCTACGCCCACTGTCTTGAGCTGGGAAGCGGGCAGAGGAAAATGTGAGGGAAGAAATGCATACGTGGTGACGAGAGCGTTTATTTACATCGTTAAAACTTGCTTGTATACTTTTTACATGCACCAGCCTTCATACTCTGCTTCTTTTGGCTGGTTAAAGATTCTTTTGAGTCAATTCTCTCTTTCCCTTTAAGGCCCATTTCAGTCAACAGTTCAAAATGAATGAAAAAGTTAATTAATTGAATAGACCGGGAAGATTCATATCCTGTCTGGAACGATGAGCAACCCGTGGTGGTTACACATCTTTGAGGGGGGGAATAGAAGGCCATTTAGAGCTGTTAGGTGGAGGCAAAAATTAAAATCCGCAGTCATTCCTCAATCCCGCCTGAAGGTCTTTCTCATGCGTTTCATGTTCATGAAGCCTCAGTTGGTGGAAACACTTACATGATCGAGATTTTCCTGCATGGATGCCGACACATCCACCAGGTAGTAAAGATCCACTGGATACCGTGGCAGCTGCTTCACGGCAACGACGAAGCTCGCCTCGGAACCTGGCGCACACAAGACTGAATTACAACGGTTCAGTTTAACATGAGGCCATTTGCTGTTTAATTGTAGCAACAGCTAACGGGGGAGGCGTCAATATGCTAACGCTCGCCGGAGCCTACCCGGGGTGAGCGTGACAGCGATGTCACGCGGGGACACTTGTGTGCTGTCGACGACGGTGGCGTTGACGTCCACTTTGACGTCTGAGTTCTCTGTGAACTCCGGTCCACAGCCTCTTCTGAGCAGGTTCACCTGTAGGTCACAGCGATGGCCAGCACCCGCCTCCTCCAGAAAATCCTGCAATAAAACAGGAACAGGGAAATCCAATATCCAGAATAAGAAAAAAAGGAAAACAGCCATTCGCGCTCACAATCGCACTTTGGGACAATTTAGAGTTTTCCATGAACCTGCCACTCATGGTTTTGCAATGTGGGAGGAAACCGGAGTACCCGGAGAAAACCCACACAGACACGAGGGGGCGAACATGCAATCGAACTCTGCGACGTGAGGCCGGCATGCTAACCAGTCGACCGCCGCGCCGCCCCTTAATGAAAATACGAATGGAAAAAGTTGAGTCCCGCGCTGCAAAAGCTTGAACAGGAAAATTTGACTGGGCAAGATTTCTGAACACGAGTGACCATAGCTAACTTGGTTGCGGATTTTAATGAACGCACTTGCTGATTGTAAATTCACTGGCTAGCAGGACTTTTCATTCATGAATATTAATCACTCTGCTAAATGTCAAGCTGACATCGTGGACCCTGATTTATGTCAAACAAGCGCATGCTCCGCACGTATGGAAATGTAAAGATACTTCTGTAAAAGCATAAACATATTCACCTCTTGCACTTAAGGGTTAAAAATGGATTGACTTGAAAATGTACATTAGCCCAAAAGTAAAAATGATTTCTTTTACAGAGTGCATAGAACCAACGTTACTTTGTTACTTCCCCACCGCTGGTGAAAAAAAAAAAAGTGTTTGAATACTTTCACACACCGTTGAGCACGACCCAGTGATGCTGGAAAAAGGTCAAGGGCCACATGGCGGGGAAAGCACCTGAAGCTTGTCAACACACTCCTGTGGTCTGTGTCGTCTAGCCAGCCATGTGTATGTGTTGGTTGATGTGTTAGTTCCCCAAACAGTGTTTGGGCCTTTATTTTTTTTTATTTCACTTCCTCAAGGCTGGAGAGCGATCCTGGGTGGATGCTTTATGAGACAGAACTCCCAGGCAGACGCACACGATTACAGCGATGACTAGACTAAACATATGGGTCAAATGTGGCTTTGCCTCTGCTGCCGCTGCTATGTGAGAGAGAATAGAAATGGAGTGGAAACATTCGCATGTCCCGCACGAGGGCAGCTTTAAACATCGTGCTCACATCTGCGGATGGTATAAAAGCAAAACAAGTGCATCATCTGAGGAATGCCAGAGGCGCACTTTTTGACACGTTCCATACCTCCTTGAAGCACCAAGAACACTGCGGCCCACGTCGGAGACACTCTTTGCAAGACGTAATCAGAGCAGACGAGCACAAGTTGTCGCCTACAGGGGAAAGGTATTGTGACAAAAACAGAAGAAAAGTGAATTTGCTGTGGAGATTTTAGCCTGTGCAAATGCCTCGCGGTGGAGCTTGGCTGGATAATCGTTTTGGTGATGGAAGCATCACTTAGACTTGTGTCATCTCATGTCAGTATGCGTCAGGCTGTGGAAAAGCAGTTAAGTGTGGGAACAGGTGCTTGTCCAATAGGACGCGTTAAAACGTTACATGACTCAATAAGCTCACGTTTTGTTTGAAGAGCCAATACTATGACTGCTGAATCTAGAAAGCACGATTTCTGCAGTCGTAATATATCTCGGGTGACTAAAGGTGGCATTAATGATTCATTGAGATGATCTATCTGCTGAGATCACATTTTTTTTTCCAAGCGCCTCTGAGCTCACAGAAGGGAATGTAGGCCAGAGAATAGCTGCAGGTTGTTTTGAACATTGGCATTATGTTCCAATGAGCTCAATATTTAACTGGCAGCCGTAAATATTTTTTTTTTTTAAACCAGCTTTACGGAAAAATATGAAGTTTGAATTTATTTATTTTTTGTAAAAACTAACCCCCTTTTGGAATTTTCCTTTGATCTGTGCAATTGGTTATGTATTCGAGATCACATCTTCAATTCATTATCGTTCCTAAATATCGTAAATAATGTGGCCGCAATAATCACAATATGATGAGATTCTTTAAGGGGCATTTGTTTTTTTAAGAAATAGACATCTACATGGTGGATGGATGGATGGATGGATGGATGGGTAGATAGGGTGGACAGTTTACCGTAAGTTGTCTGTTCCCTCAAAAAACAGCCACTATGGATGTCGTGACAAAAGTGAGCACATATATTCACTAAAATGTATCATCCAATTACATTTTCCGATCTAAAAACGTAACATATAACATCATTTAAAATTTTGTTAGAATATCATACATTTATTGCCAAAATGTAATCCATTTTACTATATATGTAATTTTTTTTTTAAATCCACGTGAAAATACTATTCAAGTCATACTCACTATGCTATGATAAAAGAAACATTGCTTGTTGAGACGTCCAATTTAAAGAAAGTACGTGTGTGGCTGTGGGTTCCGAGTGATGCTGCACAGGGGAACCGTGAGACAGAATGTCGGTTAATTGCAAAGATACGATTGTAATTGGACTCTAATGAGGCTTCCACTCACCCGGGGGGGAGGTTCCAGCGCAGAGAGCAACTATGAGCAGGAGACACAGAGGGACGCTGCCATATGTTAATGGCCAGGAAGTCATATTATCCACGCCGGGTGGTTGACCAGACCGAGCGGGGAGGCTGCGTGGACTCACTCGTGGGAGTCTGGAGACCCGGGACCGTGCGTCCGCCGCCTCGCCAACAAAAGCCGGGAATGGCGCGCGGAGTCCCGGCGCATTGTTCCTCCGCCAATAACCCTCTAATCCCGGGGAGGTATTCACATCCTCCGGTTCCAATCAGCTTAGAGGCGCGCTCCCCCGTGCACCGCGGCCGGGAGGGCAGGTAAAGAAACGGCTTTTGTGCGGCGACGCTGACCCCCCGCGCACACCCCTTCTCCATCCACGCGCTCCGTCACGATCGAGCCGTGGCCGCGATCCAGTCGCTGACCCAAAATAAGTGGCCGCCAACGTGCACCAGCATGCCGAGTGAACATGCCGCACAGTGAGCGCGTTATAGCAGCTGAACTGACTCAGGTAGGCGGTGCCATGGCAACCAGAGAGAGCGAGGGAACGAGAGAGAGAGAGAGAGAGAGAGAGAGAGCATTTCCAAATCGGCACCATGACGTCACACCTACTTCGTAACTTCGAATGCACCACTTGTAATTGGAATGTGTGATATGCCAGTTGAAAATAAGATATTACATGATTCAAATTGCTTGGAAGGGAACCCCCCCCCCAAAAAAAAAGATATGCTGGAAAATCAAATATAATTAACATAATCAAGAGCAAGAAAGAGCGAGAAAACTCTTAACAGTGAAATTGACAGCACCTCCTGTGTTGTTCAAGCAAAGCATCTCATTTCATCGGATGAAATTCTACTAGTTTAATGCTAAATTCCATGGACGGGGTTAACGGACACGACTGCTCCCTAAACATAATGAACGGAGACGCATAGTTTATAAAACACATGTTAGGTCAGAATTTACTATAATGGATTGTCCATGTTTAACACGACAGGAATATAGACGGGAGCAGTGTGGTGCACTCCAGTTGAACTATGGCCTCAAATTGAACACTTGTGTTTATATTGCTTCTTCTGGGAGCCATTTAACCGCAGCGAGCGCTCCTGTGTGTGTGTGTGTGTGTGTGTGTGTGTGTGTGTGTGTGTGTGTGTGTGTGTGTGGATGTTGGGGTTTCAGGATGGAGTGGTGGGGGTCAATCAAAGCTACGCACTCGTGAAGGGATTCACATGCTGGTGCTAAAGTAGTAGGAGGAGGGTTTTTTTTTTGGGGGGGGGGGGCCCATTGTGCCCGGATTCCAATGACATGGAGTAACCTTCACTGGCCGCTCTCCTGAGCAGGAACCCAAAAAAAAAAAAAGTCCAAAACAAGCAGGAGAACAGCAGCTGTGCACCGACAAAAGACACAATCCGGAGTCCGCCATCTTTGCTGTGATCTGATGCATGTCTCCGAGTGAAGCCCACCAGATGAAAGAGTCATGTTGTGATTGGCTCGCCGCCCAAACTTTGATTGTGAGCGTGCCAACATTTCCGATCAATACGCGGCGCTAAAGCGCACACACTCACGCGGGTCTCTTATCTGGCCCGATCTGTTGTTCACAAGCCTGGAGCTGGGCCTACTATGTCCTCATTCATTCATTAGCATAATTTGTCAAACAGGAATTTGAGGGAAGGGGGGTGGTGCCCGTCTTGCTACCCCCGCAGTCACTCTCAATTATGGTAATGATGCAAACGCACACCGTGCTGCGTTCACTCGACGACCGGGTGAAAAGTGGAATGTTTTGTTTGGCAGTTTGATGACAAGGTTCTCAAAAATCCCCCCCAAAAAACACTACTGATAATGCTTTAATATGCATGGCGGGCCAGACGTTGGGGATGTCACTTTGTAAAGAAACACTCGGGCATTGTGCAATAACTGGTTGGGCCTTCTTCTTATCCCAAAACATTTTTTAATTGCCTTTTGTTCGCATTAAACTTGTAATGTGTGTACATTGTGTAATTTGGACTTCATGCTTTAATTATGTGGGCCATGTCCTTTTTAACAACCACCCCACCTGAGGAAGACCAACCAATTGGAGATAGAAAATGTGACTGACGAGGGGTCAATCATTTCAAAAGAAAAAGAAATACTCAAATACAGATACATAAAAAGGTTACCAAAGTTCAATCACAAGGTATTTGTGTTTGTATTGCCATCTACAGAACCTCCAGTGAAGTGAAAAAAAAACCCAATGAAGTTGGAACCGGTTAGTGGAAGCTTGGCTCACAAACATACTAGTTCACAAACCATTTTGGGTGGGGAAATTAATATTTTGGTTCATATGCTCCATCGTCACGAAACGCTCAGTATGTTTTCTCTCACAAAGCGGAAACATGATTCACGTCGCATTTTTTTGGGTATCTTTGTTTATTTGCTGTTTGGTCAGTGCTCATTATGGCTCCCACGAAAGTGGAAAGTGCAAGTGGATGTGACATTAAGTGAAGTTTTTTTTGTTTTGGGGGGGGGGTAACGTAACCTCCACCAAAGAACGACGGACGGGCTGCCTGCCGTCGCCCTCGGCGAGACAACATAGCGTGAGCTCCAGTACAAGGACAGAAAGACGGCACGCCATTTAAAGTCTCACCACTCGAATGTCCTACAGCGTTTATTTTCAGCTTTTAAAATGTCAACCTCATCTAAATTTCGTCTCAAACGAACAGCGCGTGAACCATCTCGAAAATCCGGATTCCAAGTTCCCCCTCCACATAAACTTCTCTTCTCTTCCAGGGCGGCGACGGTGCTCAAAATATGAAGCTGTTCTCTACATCGCCATCTTGATAATGGACTCCTGTGTAAACACAGCCCTGGCCCTCGTCAATACTGGTCAACGTCAGGATGTTGGAGGTAGATCCCGGTCATAATGATGACACTAAACACTCTTCTCGCAATCTTTCCTGCCTCCACCTTTCAAGCCCACCACCCTTCCCTCCTTTGCCCCCCCCCACACGACCTCCAATTTGTTTGTGTTAGCAGTCGGCTAAGCTTTCCCTCACGCTGGTCTGCTCTCATCATTCTCCGGCCGCGCACACCCAGTACACACACAAGCGCGGGTTAGCATCCACTTTTGGAGCATCCACTCCCCCCGCGAGCACCTGCCCACCTTCTCTTTCTATCACCCCCCCCCCACCCCTCCCCCTTCCTTTCAAAGTTGACTCCCCTCACTGATTTTTCTCTCTGAACTATCTCCCACGCTCTTTTCAGCCACGAGCTAGATACGCTGATGGGAGGACAAAGTAGGGGTTAGAGGTTAGATGGGAGCAGAGCAGGGACTCCCAACTATGCATAAACCCCACAGCAGCTAGTCCAAACGAGCATGGGGGAGAGAGTTTATCACGAAGGGTAAAATACCGAGCACTCGGGGCCTCTTGGATTATCTCTGTATTACATCTCTATCGGTGATGTGAATAGATGCACCTTAGAAAAAAAAAAAAACTCAAACAATGTTTGGCAATTATTATTGTTTGCTTGGTTTAAAGGATTCGACAAGTCAACATTATCAAATGTGGTGGATCACGATTGGATGAACTCTAGAAAATTGTCAAAGTTCTCTCTGTTGTGCAAAAAAAAAAAAAATGTCAATGCACAATTGCGAGGAATTCAGGAATGGAATTTAGCGATGCCCGTGACCACTCATCTGGCAGCTCCTCGCTTCGCATTCTAAGCAGAAATAAGCGCCTGAAGGCTTTCTTTCCACACTGACATCGTTGACTTGCCATCCGAATTTATAAACACCGCCATCCAAACGGGAGGCTGGTTCCTTTCAGTTTTTATGCCGACTGAAAAACATTTCAGTTTGACATCCAAACTTGAACTTGGCGTGTTTTGGATTATTTCTTTCTCTAAACATGAACCTTTTCCATCATGTTGCTAAAGATCTTTGTCTCCTTCGGGGGGGGACGGGCAGATTTATTAATCTGACACCAGAGCATGTCAAAATGAATCATTCGTCTTGCAAATGACTGCCTCGCCTGTGTCGCCGCTGATGTCACTAACAGGTGTTTTAGGGTCTTTTTTTTTTTTTTTTTTTTTTAAAGCCCTCAAAACTTGTCACCGGCTGTCCTTTTCTATGCACGGGCTAGTTGTTACTGATAACACCTGTGGTTCCTTTCTTTCTCGGCGCTTTCCAAACGGTAGTACTGACTATCGGCAATGTTCGTGCAATCTTCTTGTTGTTGTTGGGGTTTTTTTTTTTTAATCTTTTATCCCTTTAACAAGTATGAACGTCGTCTATTTATTGTTGAAATCATCAAAACATTGGGCGAAGGCATCGGCCTCACCGTTCCGATACTTTCGAAGGGGAGGCGCATCAGGAGAGCGGTTAAGGACGTAACCGTAACGCAGGATTTATGCCCAATAAATCCCCAGCTGCCGCTGTGAAAAGCGAAAACGCTTCATTGCTATTTCCTAGCAACCGATCAAATATGTCATAAATACCTCAGGATGTTATGGCTCTTTTAGTTCCGCGTGAATACTCATAAAATGTGTCCTCTAAAATTTGAATTTGTTGCACCCTTGTTCCTCTTTACCGACAATGAAACGCCAGTAAAATAAATGCCACATGCAATAGTTGCAAGGCCGAAGAGTTCTCCACTGAAATATAGCCCCCCTACTTATCAAGGGTGCCTTTATAAGTAGAACTCGCCGAATGCCACTTCCTCAGTCGAGTGTCAAGGTTAATCCACGAATATGGTACATGAGCCTTTCTCTTGCTCATTCCGCGGTCGGATGGAACGTTGTGAAGGTGATGCGAAATGCACGTACTCGACCGGATGAGACGAGCATAATTGAATACTTTGTTTGCGGCTTAGTGGTCGAGGATAATCGTTTAAGCGTCCAAAAACATCCGCCCTGCGTCCATAACCGAGGAAAACCCCGTAATTGCTGTCATGTCACTGCTGACATTTTGTTTAGACCGCCTGCGGTGTTGTGGCCAAAATGCATTCATGCAAAAGCATAGGCCGAATCCTCCACCTCATGCGACCGCGGGGCATGACTTTCATCTGCTCCAGGACCACAGTGACCGTGTTTTTTGGGGACAAACTTTTAGTCCTGAGGAAATTCAATTCTTATGTCCGTCCAAGGGAGGGCTAATGTGTGGAATAAAAGTTTGAATATCAGCATTTTAACTCCAGGGTATTGCAGTATTCCAGAGTAGGAGAGAGAGTTGAGAAAAACAATAAACTACAGTCGGCGTTACACTTTGTGAGCTGGAGCCTTGAGGTGAAACGGTGCAGCAGCACACGTCGAAATACAATATCATCACGCTTCTCGCAGTCATATCTTCTTTATCCTCTGCGCCAATCAACTGATCGGGGCTGTACTGAGGCTCTGAAAAGCGTTCAGGTGGCTTAATGAACTGTTAATCGGTCCGTTTGATATTGCCTCCAGTTGGCCAGGTTTTTATTTTAACCATCTAAAAAGCAAAGTTTGGCAAAGATATTTTTCGGTATTTTAATCCCACTCTGCCTGTCCCATTTTCATTTTGATTAACGTCTACATATAAATATTATCTCACATTCAAAAAAAAAAAAAGTCATGGCAAATTATTGAAAAAAGAAAACAAAAACAAAAAAAAAGAAAGAAAAAGTCAAAACTGTTCAGAATGAAATGAAAGGACACATTCCCCTGAGGGCCTCGCTCATTCAGTGCCCTCTTCATGCCCACTTTCACTCACCAGGGAGTCTTGGAGAGTCCCGGAGTTTTCTCAGCCACATCCTGGGTGCCAGCTGCTGTGAGGCGTAATTCTGTCAAGGCCAAACAGAGCCGCGCGGCTCTCTGCCAATCCCAATATGAGAAAGAAAGGTCACCGCTTTGTGGTCCTGGGGCCGAAATGTCTGTAATCGGGGATGGGGGTGGGGGTGGAAATACATTTTGGACTACAGCACGGAGGAGGAACATCACATACTTGGTGGTTTGGTTTGGTATTGTCTCAAACACACACAAATGGTCTACACGCTATAATGTGTGTGTGTGTGTGTGTGTGTGTGTGTGTGTGTGTGTGTGTGTGTGTGTGTGTGTGTGTGTGTGTGTGTGTGTGTGTGACAAGACCAGGCAATCAAGTTAAATTCTCCTCTGATGTCCGACTCCTATCGTCCAGAAAAAAAAGTCTTGCTGATAACCGGTGACTAATGTGGCACCAATGTTGCCGTTATTTTCCCTCTTCCAGTCATGCAGTCATGAACAATTTGTAGCTTTTATTTCTGAGTGGACCTGGACAAATGAGAGCTGGCTAGGAATGTCACAGATCAATTGAAAAAAAAAAAAATCCCCGAATGGTTTTTAAACTTTTTTTTTTTTTTTTAAACATCAAAATCACCTCAAAAAATACTTACATCTTCATCCACCCTCATAATCACCAAGATTGAAATACCTGTACTGTATTATAGGAGGTGCAGGTGTTCAACCAAAAAAAAAAAAAAGGCAGTGGTTTTATTTTTTTAAACGTCTATTTGAATTAAGACACGATAACATTCTGCACAGATTAAATAGTAACACTTCCGCTCAAATTTCGGAAAAGAAAAATGATGGTTCAGTAAGAATGTATTGCACATAAGTGAAACAGAAATTGTACCGAAGTATTTTTTAGGGAAAACAAGCAGTTTTGAGAGATTAAATGCAAATAGTCTTCTAATTAAAATGAAAATACAACTGAATTGAAGTTGCACAAAAAAAAAAAAAAAAAAAAAGAAAAAGTCTATGCTACTGTGCAGAGTTTAATTCAGTGACATTTAATTCAATGATTCATTTGCGGACCACTAGAGGGAGCCGACATACCACCTAAGGAAATATTCCTGGGTTATTTTTGTTGAATTAATTAAGCACAGTGTTAATATTCAAAAAGCATAGTTTTTTTTTGTCTTAAAAAATATCAAATGTATTTTGTTTTTGTTTTTTTATGCACTTTTAATTTGACTAAACAACTGCATTTAATGGAGGTCATTGTGGCAAAACTTGGGGGGCCAAGTTGTCGTTTTTTTTTTTCCTGTCACCATCCCAAAAAATTCATTCAGCAATGCTGTCACTTTCTCTTTCACCTTCCTGCTCATTTCCTCCCTTCCCAAAAGCGGAATACAAGATAATCAAGTAGCCAGCTGACATCAAGGACAGTCGATGAGAACTTTGTCGTATCGGGCAAGATAAGCAAAAATTTTACAAAGTAAAGTATCATATGATTGGAAAACGCAAAAGAAGATGAATGCTTGCAGAAAAGTCCCAGAATATACTCTGTATCATTCCTTTGTGGGGGGAAAAAAAAGATCTGACAACACTGGTGTGTAAAGGGCGTGGTGTACATGCCAGTAATTTATTCGTCTTTGGCTGCACTGTATGTTTTACAGTAGACTGGGACCCAAATCAGTCACTTCAACTGCGGCAAGCAAAAGCTTCAGTAAACTGTGACGTCACCCTTACAACGGTACGTGAGCGCGCTCACGAGTGAGCGTTTATTTGTCCAAGTATGCATGAAGGCGTGTGGCTCTCCCACTCCCTGTGCGTCATTCAGCGCAATGTCATCATTTAGCAGAAAGCCTTTCCCTGGAGTAGACTTGAAAATGTCCGTGTGGTTCCATCTCCCCGTCCTTCCTTTTGTCCTCATCAACACACAAACAGACGCACAGCTGCTAAAAGTGGACTTTGGACCGCACTGGCGTCCTGTGGGAAGTCAGGGGGTTTTCTTCCCTGGTTATTCTGGTTACGCATGTCATTCAGCTTCTCGCGTGGTCAGGCCAAGTCACATGAGAAAGAGAATGATAACGTCGAGGTGACTGTTTCGCACGTTGCAAACACGCAAATCCTATCAACTGAGCCGGGAGTGTGTTGCTCATGTAACACGATTAGGATTGCAAGGAAACGGCAAAGTTCTTAACATAGTCTGAATATTGCGGCATAAGGAAAGCTGGACTGTGTCCGCATCTAAGATACATAACATTTCAAATCATAGCTCTACATATAAATATGCGACGATGTGAACGATGCTTGCGCCATATCAAGGCGCTTGAAAATAAATGAAAGGAGCCACTTTGATTGTCTGAGACCGAAGTTGGCTGTGGCCACTCCCACAGCGGCGCAGCCCTCCCTCTCGCAGATCCGCCGACCCTCTACTGTACTCACGTCGATTCTCACGCGCCTCTGTGAGGAGATATTCCCATGTGCCGCGTAGGATTCACGCTGGTGACGAAAATAAAACCCCCGCATCTTCTTTGACTCCGCGGTGGTCTCGCGGCATCATGTCGCCTCCAGTTTGAAAGTCTTGATATTTTTATTTCAATAAAAACAAATGAAAATAATTCGGTTCAATACATTTGGATTGGTCTGTTAACTTCTAAGCACATCCAAAATAAATGTCAATGAAATCACCTGATTCTCGATTTATTTCAATCAACTCGATAATTACGTAATCATTTGAGTGGGTTGCACTTCAACAAGTACGCAAGAGTTGACCGACATTTGCTGACAATTTATGTCCCTGTGCATACATTGCCGATTTCGTTTTCTCCCCTGCTTGAATCCGATTTTCGAATTCATACTTTCCCTTTGCTGCCGCTTGATTCACCCTATGTGACGCCGCCCTCTTGTGGTCGAGTTTGTCAATACACCTGCATGACTCACCCTATGTGACGCCGCCCTCTTGTGGTCGAGTTTGTCAATACACCTGCATGACTCACCCTATGAGCTGGCGTTCTCTTGATCTAAAACTCTCCTTTCGACCTGAAACACATGATGACGGATGAAACAAAAAGTTATCTATTTCACAGATTTCGCTTGATTTGTCATCTTTACATTTAATGTGCACGGCAGCCTCCAATCGAATCGGAATCATACTGCCCCCGGCCCCGCTACTTACTTGTGTTGACATTTCACCCTCAGAGGGAGCCCAACAAGAAGAGAGGACGGCCTGGTGGTTTAATGTTCGAGCTCCTCACACAGGATGGAGGCACAGATCCAATTTCACTGAGATGAGGGAAATTTAGAGGCCACTGAATCGGCACTGGGACGCTCTTCAACTGTATGCAAGTGTGTGCGTGTGTGCGTGTGTGTGTGTGTGTGTGTGTGTGTGTTCATCGTGATTCCTGCTGTGATGTGTTTAATACTTTATAAGAACTCTGTTTACTCTGCAGAGCAGCGAGCCAACGCAGCAGATGTGACTCAAATGCTGAGCGATACAGGAAATAGATCCCAAACACGATGTGGACATTTTGACCGTGACAACACAAAACGTGGCAACCACACTAACTCTCTCTCTCTCTCTCTCTTTCTCTATCTATCTATCTATCTATCTATCTTGTGATTCTGCTATTCGAGACTCAAGAAAATGGTATTGTAGCAGCAAAATTCACTTTTCATACAGAACATAAGTGCAGAAGTGCAATTTTCGATTTAGTGTAAGATTTGGATTATAAATATGGAGTCAAAAGGTCACCAGAATATTTTGAAACTGCTCTCATTATAATTACACTGCAAGGCTAACTCACTTCATGCTATAACCACAATAATAAACAGATCCTTATCCCTTTAAGGGACAGCGGTTACTACATTGGACGGATTATCAATTTATCAGGTTACAAGGCGCATGAAAGGGTTAAATGAAATCTATCCATATTTATTTCTAAAAAAATATAGGCCATCCGTTTATACATTTCATCATGGACTACACCATGTTCTTTTGAGTATTCTTTCCTCGGTGCCACAACGATGCCTTTAATGACGCTCGTATTATTGACTGCACAAGAACACCCGAAGCGAATGCAGCATCATTAGGGAACACCTTTTGACTTTTCGCATATACGGCTAACAAGCACCTTTAGTCTGACAAACGACCTCACGTCATGTCGCCATAATGTAATGTACGGCGTCACATTGATTTCTGCCGGAATGGTCCCTCATCTATTGGCTCACTGCATTGTGTCTGTAGAGTTCGTACAGACTGTGAGTGTGTCCACAGGGGGAGGTCACTTGTTGTGTGGGGAAGATGTTGCAACTTTGAAATCTATCTGGAAATAAGTGGTTGAAGTTGCTGTTGTAGTTTCGGCAAAACTGATATTTTTGTGAGACCAACACATATGTAAATTTGTCTCCACAGTCAGGGATGCGTAGAGAAGACCAACATTGTAAGAGTACTATCACTTTACAATGTTATTACTCAATTAAAAAGACGAGACGAAGATGATTAGTCAGATAAACATATATAGTTTGATTCAACTTATTTTAGCAGTAAGATTCAGTTCGTTCTTTTCCGCCACGTCAAGGATTATCAGCACGTCTCTCGCTTACCGCTTTTAAAAAATGGAATAGCAGGAGCTGCATTGACAGCGAATTGAGTCAGCTGTGTTCACACCCACGACGGCGCAAAACACTCATTTCTGAATGACCCACGCTGCGCCCGCTTTCACGGGTTTGGGAAAATACCAAAACTTTGTATCACTCACTCCTGTGCATGATTTGGAACAGACTTGGTCATTTCAAAAACGAATCCATGTGTGAAGTTGCCAGCCAACCAAAAGATGACATCGGAAAATACGACTTCAGTGTAATTGTCATTGCACGGCGTACTACTAATCTATGCCTCAACTCTTGGTTTCGGTCCAGCTAATGTGTCTACCATTAGCACTAGTGCTGATCACCACGGGGCTAAATGGGTTGTTTTGTAAACAATCACACAACAGCTCAGCAGTCTGACTTGATGGGTGTCACACCTCCACTGATACAGTGGAAACAAAGTCAGTGCCTGAGTGCCCTGCGGCTTCTTTGCTTCATTTGCCTCCTCTGCTCTTGTGGGAAGGATGACAGATTTCCCGCTGTCCTCTTCCAGCTATTACGGAGCAGTCCCCTAATGATTTCGAGCCCACACTGGCAGTGGACGGCAACTGGGATGCTCATAATGGGCCTCAAGGGGATCGCAGGGTCCCCGGCACCTCCTGCTAACTCCTCTCTTTATCCACTTAAGTGGAAGGAAGTTTCGATATCTCCAATTGCTACACTCGGCTACTTGCTGCCTTTGGCTTACGCGTAAGGCATCAAGTTCAGGGGCTTTATTTTCACTTTATAAAACTTCGACAAAAGTACGTACAGTACTTCTTCTTTTTCAAATATATTCCCTGACTTGTTTGGCAGTAACGGACACTCTATAATATTTCGAACCACCAGTAGCACAGTAATAAAAATGCACGGGTCCATGTTTGTGACTGAAAGGATTGTCATGTAGAGCACGAAACGGAAAACACATTCCATGAGTCACGATACAGTAAAAGGCGCTGATCCGTGCTTCCGTACAAGCTGCTTTTAACCTCAGGCTCGTCAATATTGTAGTTGATTGATCAGTTAAAAAGCCAGCCCTGGCACAAACTCTGATGTCTTGGTGCATTGATTGTACACTGCAAGGAGCTGTGGCTAAGTGTGATTACCCGGGAAAGCCTGGCAATTATTGGGGGCTTTTCTCTTCATTGTCCAAAAAAATCGTTCATTCGAGTCGTTTTGTTACGGTACTCACAATTTTTTGTTCTGTTTGGATTCCTGATTTAGTTTGAATGTATATATATTTTTTAACCCGTGGAAATGACACGGTGGTCAACCGGTTAGCACGTCGGCCTCACAGTGCAGAGGTGCAGGGTTCGATTCCGGCTCCAGGGTAAATGGATTACAAAATGCATAGACGGATCGATCACCAATATGAAAGGGCCCGAGCGCTTTGCCAAATTTGACACACCTGCTCCTTAGCTACATCTGATACCTTGTAGCAAATGCATTCATATGGCACTGTGGAGGCAAATGGCTCATTGGGCCCGTTTTCCAAGTTTCACATAGGGGTGTGCGCACTTTTGTTGCCAACCATTTCGACATTGATGGCTCTGTATTGAATTACGTTGAGGGACAGCGGATGCACAGGTATACAATCTTCGCACTGTCTACTTCACATCGCAGCAACATCTCAAGAATTGAAACTAGAAGTAGAAAAAAAAATCACAATTTTTTTTGTATACAAACGTGTTCAATGAACATGTGAAGCTTGTTTTTTATTCAATCGCACTCGTGAAATAAATGTCTTTTATGCGTCAAAAAAACTATTGGGAAGCACTTGAGAAAAAGTTCATACTAAAACGACGTAGATACATTCACGGCGTGCGCGCACGCGTGCACGCGCCTATTCCCCGTGCGCGCGTGCCGTTGAGTTTGAGAAAGCGTGGACGTCACATCGTTTCTCATCACATCGCTCCTTCCATCAAGCTGCGCTCCTCATCTCTCGATCGACTCTCCTTTTTCGTCCCCCTGACACTTTTCGTACACTTTCGGCTCACGCGATTACTTTGAAACAACTCGAAGCAACTTGCTTGGATCCAGCCACCTCCTTCCCGATGTAGTAGTACCGCGCGCGGCGCTCCCGGCGACCGAGGAGCGGACTTCTCGTGCCGGAGGCGGAGAGATGCCCCGGGTGGGATGTGCTCCAGCCGCAAAATCCTGTGGAGCCTTCTCCTCCTGTCCGTGGTGGAGGTGGGCCTGGGCGTGGCGAGCATCGTCCTCGGAGCCGTGGGCATCAGCTGGGCTCGGGGGGAGCACAAGCCGCAACAAGGCGACGCTTCGCCCGTGTGGAGCGGACTCTGTGTACGTGACTTTGCTACTTTTTAGTAAGTTGGCGGGTGGACTAAAAATAGTCATCGTGGTCTCAGTTCGCTAAGAGTTATGGTACATTCATTTTATATATGAAAAATTGATTTAAACAGAAATTATATAGACTTCTAGTCAGTGTGTGTTTGGGCGTGTTAAAAGGCGCATATCGTTTCCTCCAAAAGACTGATTCGCTTTCGCTGATGAGGCAATTAGACAAGGAAAATGCTCCATTCACTGCACTGGCATCCTATTTTCTCCTTTAATGTGTGGTGAGTGCAAAGGGTCTAATTTTTTTTTTTTTTAATTCATGAGTCTGCACTTTTTCAGCATGTTCTCCCCCTCAAGGTGTTATTTTGGCAAAGGTCTGCAGCAGGCACAGTAGCTGGCAACGCGAGCCAAGAAGCTCCCGCTGTCCATTGGCTGCGAAAGTGTGAAATGTTTCAGAGCGGGTCACTTTGCTTGTGTCTGGGCTGCTTTTGTACAACGCTCATGCCAACTTGTACTCTCGTGACAGTACCTGTCACATTAAAAAAAAAAAAAAAAGAACAGAATATGTCTGTTCAATGAAGACTTCAAATTGCCCCTGGGAGTGTGAGTTGTTATTTGTCTATGTCCTCTGCGATTGGCTGGTCACCAGTCTGTAGTGCAAAAAAAAAACATGCATATTCTGTTCAATGAAGACTTCAAATTGCCCATGGGAGTATGAGTTGTTATTTGTCTGTGTCCTCTGCGATTGGCTGGTCACCAGTCTGTAGTGTACACATTTAAAATAGACTTTTTGTGGTGATGTCACCCCGCCAAACACCTTCAGCACGTGTTTGTTGTTTCTCTTTTTCAGTTTCTGCTCTGCGGGATGTGTGGAGTGTTGTGCGCTCGAAAGAGGACCGGCCTTAATGTTTTCACCCCGCCAGACACCTTCAGCACGTGTTTGTTGTTTCTCTTTTTCAGTTTCTGCTCTGCGGGATGTGTGGAGTGTTGTGCGCTCGAAAGAGGACCGGCCTTACTGTAAGTTCAGTAATCCTTCCTTTGTTTATGCATCCTGTCTTGTGCCTAATCTATTCGCATTTCTCTTTGGATGGAGGCTATTTTTGCTGCAGCAAACAGGAAGAGGACTCCAGCTGCCTGACACATGGGGAGTCTTGATTATTATTTCATGCTTTTTAACCCATTTGTGTCTCTTGGTTCTCCACTGACGATTAAACTTCATGTCACCTTATATAAGGTTTTCCATGACAGAACTACCTTTGACCAGCTTTTAATAGCAAGCCATCTTCTTTCGGAATTTGGTAGATTATATATTTACTGCACTAGTGTCAATGTGTGTGTGTGTGTGTACACAGTGCGCTCTGTGAGAGACGTCCAAGGAAAGCAGGGGCGGCAAGCAGTCACCTCTCCTCTTCTCTTTCTGTCCAAGTCCTCGTCTTTCCTCGCCTTCCACTCTGGGTGTCTGCTTGTCTGGCTAATGATGGATCAATGTCAGCACAATGGAAAAGAGACCTTTGCTTCACCCTGCACCCACCTCCACTTATTACCACTTTCTCCATTGCTTACTGCCACCCGTTATCATCTTCTCTGTATTTTCAATAGGCTTTTTCTCCTCATGTCTTTCTGTGCCGCCCTCCCGTCTCCCGTTCACTCCATGCCTTTGGGCCAATGATCGCATTAGCTTAGTTTGGTTCAGGAGTCCTGCCAGCCAGACGCCTCACACACCTCACAGGGTAATGGCTGAAATTGGAGATGTCCTTTTCAGTGTGGTTGCAAACAGTGAAGGCACCTCTGCTCATTTCCAAAGAGACAGAATACAATCCTCGCTCAATCAACTTGACCTGATTATTTGACTGGCCGAATGAAGGACTTACATTAATCTCATCCTGTGTGGGGAAAAAAAATGATTGCCATGCTGGGATTCAGAGCCTGCCTTTACCCAATGTGGCACCGTTGGTGAGATTTTATACAGGGCAATTTAAATATGCATCCTAAGGAAATCCAATGGTATTGTTTTTATTATTGCCTTTCATTCACATGATAACATCATCCAATTCACGTGCTTAAGAAATCACCCCCGAAATTTTAAATACAATATAAATGCCTTAAACTAGTTTAACAAGGTATGTGGGAATGCTAAAGTCTTCATCATCATCATCATCATAACTAGAATATGCAATTTCAGGAGGACAATACATGCGAATGCTGAACTGCTGAATGGGGGAAAAAAATATGGACCCGTGGTATGGTACTGGTGAAAAATGTGCCATATATTATTCATTCTGAATTTCGAATGGGAATGAGGTGAATCTGTTATGTTGAACATGTCATTGGAAAAGATTGGTGCATTTTCTGGGTGTAAAATGGAAAACTTTTTTTTTAAAATCAATTTGGGGTTGTTGTTTCACCTATGTTAGATTTTAGGGCGTGATGAAGATGGACATTTGCACTCCCATTTTCATTGTTTTGATTTTCTTACTCACCTCATCTGTCGTCTTGTGTTCTCAGATGATTTTGTTCTCAGCGTGCTGCATCTGTGGTCTGATTGGCGGCATCCTCAACTTCCAGTTTGTCCGTGCGCTCACAAAACGACCAGATTCCATGCAATCCATCCACTTTGCTGCCATGACTCTGGCCTGTCTGGGTAAAACTGGACACACGGCGTGACAATCAAGAAGCACACATGCGACGACATGCCTTAACAGTTTTTCTTATCTTGTCCGAAGGGATCTCCTCATGTACATTATCCACTTGGCTCACCTGTCGTCTGGCCAGTTCCGAGCAACAGAGGATGTTCTTGGAGAGGGAGCACTCCTTGCACCATTCACACGAGATGACAGAGAAGGTGGCAAAAAAAAAAATATTGCTTCTCATTGGTTAGCTTGCCTTTTGACCTAATGCGAGCCTGTTCAACAGGATGTCTTGGACAACTCCAGTAACGGTATACCTCAGCTCTCCTACAATGGACACACCAGTGCATCACCATGACGACAACTTGAATCACTTGCTGTCAATACATAAAGCGTGGCTGTACTGCAGGCGGAAAATGCTTTGACGTATAACAATATCAATCACAGGAGGTGGACTCTGTGCAGAGAGTGAAGTGAGATTTTTTTTTTTTTAAATTATTATTATTTTTTTGGATGGATGGAGTGCATCGGACCTAACCAAAGAGGATGAATTGACATTTTAGTGTCAAATAAATACTTGATATCATCAAACCTTTAAATGAATGAGCAGAATGGAAGAGATTTTCTTTCTATACTGCCTCAAAATCAGTTAGTCAGGCTTTACCTCAGTGTGGGTTTTAATTGAACATTTTCTCATCTGCTTATCCTCACAAGGGTTGCGGGTGTGCTGTAGCCTATCACAGCTGTCTTTGGACAGTAGGTGGGGGACACCCTGAATGGGTTGCCAGCCAATTGCAGGGCATACACATAGACAAACAACCATCCGTGCTCGTATTCACACTGAGGGACAATTTAGAGTGTTCAATTAACTTGCCATGCATGTTTTTTTGTAATGTGGGAGGAAAAAGGAGTACCCGGAGATAATTCATGCAGGCACGGAGAGAGCATGCAAACTCCACACAGGAAGGCCGGAGCTGGAATCAAACCCTGCACTGCTGCACTGTGAGTCAGACATGCTCACCAGTCGTCTACCGTACTGCACTGCCCTATTAATTGAACAATATCGTTAGAATTTTGCCTATCTGTAAAACTGTGCTACATTCTAATATTTTTTGGTACAAGTTCATCTCAATAAACCAGAATATAGTGGGGGAACGTTCTTTAGTTCAGAAGTTCACTTCAAAGAGTATTTGGATTGACTTGATTTTTTTCTATTGTTTAATAGAGCTACTAAAACGAACTTTTTTTTTTTATCTATTCTAATTCATTCATATGTATCAGTAACGTATCTAACAACATGACCTTATTATTAAATGAAGACCTGTCTGGCAATGTCAACAGGGCAATAGTATCCTAAAGGCAAAAATATAGCTATTGTGTTGAGTAATGGATATGGTTAAGCTTGTGCAAATGTACCTCGTAACATTACTATGTCAGGAATGTAGTACATACATATTTTTATAAATGCTTTTAATTAAGGATAAGTCAATAAAAGTCTAATACAACATTGGAACGGAAAAACAAATGTGTTTCTATGTGTGTAAAAATGAATTAAAAATAAATTATTCATATATATATATATACACGTATGCACTCATTTGTAGGCATCATCTTTAAATAGCCTTATGCTCATTCGACTTTTGGAGTTTCTGTTCCATTTTTGTCTCCACACCAGTTTTACTTTTACCTCTTCACCAGCAGACGGCGATGTAAACCGTAATTGAAGGTTCCCCGAAGCGGAAGTCGGCACTCGTTGACTTTCCCCTCCTCTTTGGCAATATGGCGAACTTGACGCATGCCGAACACGACCCAAAACGCGTGGAAATGTCCGGCGAAGTCCTCGAACCTTGCGCTCAGAATCCGGCAGTTACAGCGTCCTCCGCGGCTCGGGTAGATTTGGTCGAGGTTCCATGCGTTATCCCGTCTTTTGCCGCTGCTTCCGAACTTGTGTCAGCGCCCTACTCTTGTCTGGTGATGAACACACACCGAAGACACGTCGTCCTGCCGCCCGTGTACCTGTACAAGAAGAGGACAGCGTTACGAGAGGAGTTACAAGCCGAGCTGCTCAAATTCTCACCGAGGTGACACAACTCAGTTGGTTAATTTTATTAGGTGATGCGGTGTGATAGGTTTTCGAATGTAGGTTAACATTTGTAAAGTTTGAGAAGCACTGTTGTAGAGCATTTGCTAAATCGCAGTCCCAACCTAATTGAAAGATGGAAGCATATCATTGGCTGAAATGATTGTGACATGTACACAGCGACTGTGAATGTGTGTTTTGACCATGTGCATTGTCACGCTTTCTCCCGCAGCCTCCAAGGTGTACCTCTAGCTTATGACAATATCCAGATTGTGCGCAGCCATGGAGACATTTATGATGACAGCGGCTACATTCACATGGACATACAAGCCAACTTTATTATATTTCAACCTCAAGAAGGACAGAGATTGCTGGTCAGTATTGCCATTAATCGATTTTAAACCGACATTGCGATGTAGTGAAATGCAATCCTCTAATCGGGGTTTGGTTGTGGGCGACCTCCAGGGGAAGGTGAACAAACTTGGTGTGAGCCACGTGGGCTGCCTGGTCCACGGCTGCTTTAATGCCAGCATTCCCAAGCCCAACCTTGTCTCCGTGGATACCTGGAGGGACGCGGGCCCCAGGATCGGAGCGGAGCTGGAGTTTGAGGTGGTTGCGCTTGATGCTGACACTGCCGGTGTGTTGCTTATAAGAGGAAGGCTGAACAGAACCAGGTATGCAAATGACTTATCAAGTCTTCTTGGAATCGATTATGCTATCGTGTAATTGGATAGATTTTCAGGCCCCCCCTCCAAAAAAACAGCACCTAAGAGATTTTTTTGGGGGGGGCCGAAAATCTATCGTAATGGAGTAATAGATTTAGACCCCCCCCAAAAAAAACAGCACCTAAGATTTTTTTGATGGGGGTTCTAAATCTCTTACTCCATTACTCCTGGGATGTAGCGATACCACAAACAAATAAATAAAATTGTTGCCCCTCACTCATGCATTTAAACACAACATAAACACCTTCCGTGAAACGCGTTGTCACTCTCTCACTTCCAATTCCCTAAATAAACTTGCTTGATGCCGGTACATCATTCCGTATTCTGTGCTCCAACCCAGGGGTCCCCAACCTTTTTTGCCCCACGGACCTCTGTATTCTGTGCTCCAACCCATTGCCGCCCTTTGAAGAAATGCGTCCCAACTGCCTGTAGTCTCACATCTTCACCGACAGAGGGCGCTAATGTACTATGGTACAGCCGTGCATATAAAATTTACTGTATATGCAAACATTAAATCCACAGACAAACTTGAAAATTCCTACGTGGTAGAAAATCCAAATTCGCAGCTTTTCACTTTTTTGTCCCGATAAAATTAACCGCAAAAAAAATGAGGAATTACTGTAATCCATCTTTTAATTTTTGGTAATTTAAAAGCATACGCACCAAAGTGCGTATTTTGAATACCATCCCAAAGCTTTGTGTTTGTCTCAAGAAAATTAATGTAATCCTGTTTGTGTACATCAGGGTTCAGGAATTGTTGGCCATTACCGAGAGCTCCGATTCGGGTGTCGCCGTCGACCAGGTCGAGTTAGAAGACATACAACCGGTCACAGAGGCCACTGAGGAGTCTGTTGACCAAGACGCCACCAAGAAGAAGAAGAAAAAGAAGAAAGAGAAAATCAAAGAAGAAGTGAAAGAAGAGGAAGCGGTGTGGCCGCCCTGCCAACTCGATGGGAACGGGACAGGGAGTGAAGCCAATGGTGAGAAGAAGAAGAAGAAAAAGAAGAGAGATAAACTCAAAGAAGTGATTGAAGAGATGTCGCCGTCACGCCAAGATGATGGTGACGCTACACTCGAGCTGAATGGAACGGAGAGTGATGCAAATGGTCAGAAAAAGAAGAAAAAAAAGATCAAAAAAGAGAAGAGGATAAAAGAAGAGGAGGAACCGGTTCAGATCTCCCCCATGGAGATCCACGCCAGCGACTCCAGCGGCTATCACAGTGACAAGCCCGACAAGAGGAAACGCGAAAAGGACATCCAAGTCAGTGCAAGTTTTAGTCAAGAGGCTTTGGAACCAAAGTCCAAGAAAAAGAAGAAAGAAAATGACATTGCTTGAAAAATGGATTTTTCCCTGATTCGGGACAATGCCTTGAATGACCGATCAGTGTCGTCAGTTGCCATTCATGGCCTGTAGGGGGCGCAAAACTGCTTTACAAAGCAGCTCACGTGGACTCATCGTTTATGACAAGAATCCAGTCTGTGGAGATCTCCTCTGTGCCTTATAACGCTCCACAAGATTGTTAAAGGCTACAAAGAAATTACGTTAAATACTAAGGACAACAAACCAAAAGTTTATGCTGAATAAATATATATTCTTTCAAAAATATTGATATTTCTCATGATTCAGATTTGGACTTCACAGATTGATGCTGAAGTGTCATTGCTCTTGTGAGAGCTAATCATGGCTTCAAATGCTTTTCTGTCATCTTTTATGCTGACCATCGAGTGTGAGGTGATGAAGCGTCGAGAGACAACTTAAAGGGTTGCGCGTGTTTTCTTTAAACCCCCCAATCTCCCCACACGCACAAATCCTGCCTTTCAGCAGGGAGTCTTAATTAGTGCCGAGGTGCAAAGAGCCGCAGAGCTTATCGGGGATCCGTCTAAAGACGAGAGATAAGGGGTGCAGTTAAATGGTTGCGGCGTCATCCGTCACATCCGATCATGTTTCTGTTATCGCTTCATGGGATAACCTATTGCTGGCTGGATCCAGTTAACGCTTTTAGAATTTTTTTTTTTACTACGTTCAAAATCTGATCAGTATAACTTGTTTTTCACAGATTGGGGAGAATTTGAGTAGTGTTGTCTTACCGATGTGTTTCCACAGCGCTTGTGTGTGAATGTTCACTATTTGAAGGAATGTCACTCCCCAAGTCGATGCTAATTTCCCGTTGCCACTTGAATGGGATCCTCCATTGACTTTAGCATGAGCGCTAGCGATGTTTTGAACGCCTTGGCTCCCCGCGCCGCTGAACCTTGAACAAAAACGTGTGGATTGGCTACCCCAAGTGGACAAAAATAAGAGCTGCACCTCGCGTGGATATTTTGGTCGGTGTTATGCCTGACGCTTTAAAACATGCAAAAATAAGAAAATAAATGGTCGCAGGGGTTTCTGGAACGAAAAACAAGGGAATACTGTATTGTAAATTATTTGTCCCCTGGTGACCTCCCCTCTGCCTCTCGCCTGATCTCCACTCTGGCCCGCGTGCACCTGCACCGAAGCACCCCTCCATCGCCTCCCATTCATCTTGTCATCCTCGCTATCTCGCCCCAATGCAGACTCCCCCCCTTCATCTTCTCCTCCTCTTTGCTCCCCCCACCAGGCCTTCCCTCTCCTCCTACTTGTTCCCCTGATTTATTGGAGGCGGAGTGCAGTTCACACGCATTCCACTCCAGGCTCCCCTCCTGCCACTGGACCCTCATATCTAGGCATGCTCGTTTATCTTCATGATCCTCTGATGGCCAGAAGAAGAAGAAGAAGAAGGAGGAGGGAGGGAGGAGTGTTGTTTTTGTTCTTGAACAGGCCAGACAATCTTTCCCTCACACCTCTGTCTGTGTTTCATAGTGTGCGTGTCTCTACGTTGCCTGTGTGTCTGTCTCCTGTGTCAAAGTTTCCATGCCTGGCGGGCTGCTCCAGGAGAACATCCCCTCCCACCCCCATACGTAGAGGCAGGAAACGAGTGCCACACACTCGCTGGCTCGCAAACACAGATTCCCCCCCCCCGGACCCCGAATCCGCAAAATCTCCCATCTTTTCGGCTCGGGTAATTAGCGATGCGCTCGGCCGCTGAGTTGGGTCTCAGAGCCCCTAAATGGCAGCGGGGTCATAAAGCTCAAGTGTTCCACCAGTCAGAGCTGTGCAACCACGGCCACGAATCGTCCAACGGGACCCAGGCAAGGGTTTTGAATCGTATCAAAGCGCTTCCTTCGCGGTCCCGCTGACGTCTATGAAATCCCTTTATGGGCCTTTCAAAGGCATTGCTGGGAGGTTTTTGGCACCTCTGCTTTGCATCAGCCCTCGTTTTAATGTTCAGCTCAGACCCTCAGGTAGGCAAATATCCACTCACACTCCGGCTCCGCTCTTTCCCAAGGGTTTAGTGTCCACACACGAGAATCCAAGTGCACGCACACACACGCTTAACCCTGAAAGTAAACATGACTTGTGCTTGTGGAGCTGGATTCCGAGAGTTGGTTTGGTTCCCTGGCACCGACAGACACTGACCTGCCGGCGGCTGAAAACCACAGCGACCAGGAATCGATTTGGTGTTTCCGCCAGCGCGCTTTTACTGTGGTATAGCTCATACTGTTGAAAAAAAAAAAAAAGCAGGTGCTGTCTTGAAAAATCACCCAAAGCATTTTTTTTAAAGAACACAAAAGTCAATTTATATTTATTTATATCTTTTTAAGAATAACAAAAATCTATGAATGAAAATGTATGTCCCTCAATAGCCTGACAAGCTGATTCCTCTGATCTGCAGATCGCCGCAGATGGTTTTTTTTTTTTTTTGTCGTTGAACTTGGTTTGCTTAACACCCAATCAGAAGACGAAAAAACGCCAAGGTCAACGAAAGGCAGCCACATACAAATTAAGATCCATTTGAGTTACATCTGCCACCACCAGAGGTTCTGAAGGCTCCGGTCCGATTAGATTGACATGGCGACACAGAGGCTGAAATCTGATCGGACAAAAATATCGACCCGAAACATCCACGTGCACGTGCTGGAAGCAGCGCGGCCAAGAAAAACACTCCGAAATGAGGAGACGAGACTCAGCTGCTTTAAGTCTGAATGTAAAGAGATGCGTCCATCATCTCCATTTGGGGTGAGTACCGGCTTGTTTTTAAATTTTTGAGATGCGGGGACTAACTTCTTTTTACACTTGTGTGGCAGTAAAGAATGGCGCGGTGCCAAGAATCGACTCCCCACCCGGAGATACGCCATCGTTTCTCTGCCGTTCGTCCCCAAAGAGTGAGTAGTTCGATTTATTCATTTTTTTTTAATTTGATTCCACTACACCAAATGTACTTTTGCGCATTTAGGGTGTAAAAAATGTTCCATACGGTGTGTGCTTGCTTGCTTGCGCCTGCCTTTTGCAACCGGACCGTTTTACGGAAACAAAAGTTTCATTTCACAAGACAAACAATACTCGGATTGGAATCCCCCCCCCCCAAAAAAAGGCGTTTGAATGGAGAGAATACAAAATCGGGCCGAGAAACCTCTCCGAGAGTGGGCCAGTTACAACAAGCATGGCCGCGCTTCATGAAATAAAAGCAATTTGTCGGTTTATCAGGACCTGTCAGATATTGCAAAGAGACACTGTCAATGATTACAACATAAATATTGTTGTCATCCACAAATTCCTTCGTATCAAGTTACCTCATGCTGCATATTATACAAAAAAGAAAAAAAAGTCAAATACTTGCTCGTCGCCCCAAGGGATTGCAATGCACTCAACGGCGTGGCCAAGAACTAAAAGGCGTCTGGACCGGGCGGCTTCCCTGTTGAGTTCCGCAAACATTTTCCTATTTGAGATCTACGGTGTTCAAAAAAAAAAAAAAAAAATGATAGCTGAGCTCACAAGCGCCTCCCGAACACAGCCACGCTTCGGATTTTAAGATCCGAGGAAGATGATACTCTTTTGGCTACAGTTATGCTACACCGCGCCTTAGCGATACACAAGCGATAAAAATGCTCTGACCCCCCCCCACACACACACACACACACACATTCCAGTACAACTTGTTCAATTAATGAAGAGAGCACTCATTTCGATATGACCAAGTCAATTTGAATATTAGAACATTAAAACAATGTGTATCATGATTATTATTTTTTTTTTTTTGTTATACTGTCACAAATATGTCGGGACAGGAAGTCACGTCAGCACAATGAAAATAATGAAGGCTCGACATAATCAGGAGGTAATCGCTGTCGTCTAGACAGTTCTTCATAACCGCCAAGCTCAAAGGACGCGACAAAGGGTACCAGTAGGATTTTTATTTGAATGTTGTTAAATGGGGCGGCACGTCGGCCTCACGGCGCAAAGGTACAGGGTTTGATTCCGGCTCCGGACTTCCTGTGTGGAGTTTGCATGTTCTCCCCGTGCATGAGTGGGGTGGTTGTTAGTCTCTGTGTGCACTGCGATTGGTTGGCGACCGGTTCAGGGTGTAACCCGCCCTACTGCCCTCAGAAAGCTGGGATGGGCTCCAGTACGCCCGCCCCACGATCCGTGTGAGGATAAGCAGATTAGAAGATGATGGATGGAGCGATGTTTTGAACCACACAATGACACAAAAACTGGCCACAAGAATAGGTACCGACCGGTACACTTGCACATACCCAGTATGGTGTGTGTGTTTTTTTTTTTTTTTTTTTTTTTTTGTGCATTGGATCATTTCATATTTATGACTGTCAAGTGTTTTGCATTTCTGGAAAAAAAAAAATTCTGGTGACATCACCGCTGTGGCAACAAAACTCGGATCATTTCTGACACCCTTTGAACGCCAAGTAGAAGTTATTAGCAGAAGTGGAAAATAGAGGCAAATGAAAAGTGGAGTAGTTTACAATTCAGAATTTAGATTTGACAATATAGCACCCCACAGCAATGGGCCAAAATAACTGAAGCATTTTTCCTTCTCCAGATTGGTTTAACAAAGCAAGCCAACTCTGACCGGGAAACACGTCTCTTGTCATCATCACACATCAATAATCAGCATCTATGGTAAGTGTTGTTTTGTTTTTTTCCCCCTCCACATACTTTTGCCATATGGTTAGAAAAGTATTGCTTGTGGACTGAAGTTTTGCAGTTCAAAAAAATGACTTGAAAAATCAAACATGGCACCTTTGGAAAGCTTTTCATAAAAGCGGCCAGGCTCCTTTGGAGTAAATAAACAGCTGAGACAGCATTGGGGGGGGGGGGGCTGTTGAAGGGAAGGTGTTGACATGTTGTTGGATGGTGGGTGGGACAGCAAAGGGATTTTCAAGTGTGTCGGTGGGGAGTTGAAGCGTTGGATTAAAGACGAAGCGAGGGAGGGCTCAATCCGAACGAGGGAGCCGCGGCTCGGCAAGTGGGGTGGCGTTGAAGGAAGTGAGATGGAAGGTTGCTGGGTGTTGTCGCGGAGATGTATGCTAGGCCCGTTGGCTTTCACCCAGCAACGTCCGTGAGCCCCCCCCCCCCCCCCCCCCCCCCCCCCCAGAGCCCCACCTTTAACTGGCCACCCAGCTGTGTAAACATCCCGGCATTGGTGATTGGCTGACCGTCTCGGCCACTCGCAAGCTCGGATGCCGTGAAAGGTGAGACAAAGCGAGCCAATGAGTCAGTTTGTCGGGCGCGCAGGCAGGCAGGCAAGAACGAAGAAGGGAAAGAAACACGGATTGTGCTCACGATGACAGTAAAGAAGTAGAACATTGGTCCAGAGTTCAACTCATCTCCATTACTCACTTCCTTGATTCCACCCACCTCCCTGTTTTTTTTTTTTTTTTTTAAATGTCTGACTCCAAATTAATTCAAGAATGACCTTCATCAAGTTCACAGCAGAATTCCCTTTCGAGCAGCGTGCACCTTCGCTTAGATCCTGTGTCATCTTCCCCCAATCTAATGACCATAAATGATTCGAAAGGGAATGCAAAAAAACTTGCTTGTCGGTGACCTAGTCAAGAATAATGACCGTTATCGTAGGATTACATTTGACAATTTGAAATTTTGGTTCAAACTTTAGCAAGCATTATGGAACTTGACATGCTTGATTTGCTTTCGTGGGCCACATAAAATGATGTGGAAGGCCAGATCTGGCCCCCGGGCCTTGGTTTTGACACCTGTGATGTACAGTGAACATCCAATAAAAGGGGGATGTGGTTTGAAGCGCTCCCTTCGCTGGGACGACGAGGCATGCGCAGAATGTTGCATTTATGACCACAGGTAAGCTTCGAAATGTTTCAATCTGTCTGCTATTGTCTTTTTTTTTTTCTTTCTTTCCTCCCCATGTTTCGCTTGCGCTCCAGACGTCATCACAACCTTTCAAGTCCGCCTCTTTGCGGCCAGTGTTTACCTCCACATTTAGTCATGCCAAAAAGTCCTCGCTAATTTCACATCGTGCAACCAATAACAACAGCGGAGAGCAGGAAGCGCCCTTCCACTCCTGCGTTTTTCCACTCAGACAAAAAACAAAACAAAAAAAAAAACGGGGATAAAAACCCCCTGGCGGTGTGTTTGTGCGCCTCTTTTCGGCGCTTTACTCCTTATTTAAGGCCAATATTTACCCAACAGCCCCAGGGTGAGATTACCTCATATTCTACCGCCCAGCTGCTCTTTCTCAGCGTTTCCACGACGACCGGCGGAATGTCCCGTCATGTTTATCTGCCCCGACCGAAAAACAGCGAGGCGGCGGAGGCGAGATGATGACAATCCAGTTGCGTGAGTGTGCGCAAGATAAACACTCGCGTTAGTCCGCAACGAATCATCTATGGATGCTCTCCTTGAACCGGCCCGTTTATAACGTGGATAAAATCTCCAAGTAACCATTTAGTGCGGGCAGGTTATAAATAAATAATGCAATAATAACTTACTCTTATCTTCATGATTGATGTGTTCCTCTCTATTAAAAAAAAATATATATATATATTTTCTTGTATTTAAGTGTATTAGATAACACGCACGACATGTAATAAAAAGTACTAAAAACACATTAAAGTCCCCCCCCCCGGCCACCAAAAAAAAAAAAATGTCACCAGTTAATGCTCTCGAGCAAGGGGGGTCAAACTCATGGCGGCCCATGGTTGAGCTTGAGTCGAAAGTCCAAAATATAATGCGATACATCTTTATGTCGCAGCTTTCCCAAAAGCTTCAGCTGGAACAAAACGCACTACGGAAGCATGTGACGTCAAATAACAAATATCAGGGATTTAACTCATTAAAACATGGACACAAATTTGAGGAGTCGACGCAATATTTAGTGACTTTTCTTCAAATATCTTGCACTTGATAAATACTGCCTTTGTCATATAAAACTAATACTAAAACTAATAAAAAAAAGAATATGAGACATTAAAAAAAAAATAGCTGAACTAGCTGAATTTTTTTTAACCCTGGAGAACCCAAGAACCCTTTTCTTCTTTAGAAAATGATGAATTATACATTAAATGACTGCTATATGTTCACCGAACACCAAAATATATGTTTTTCAAATATTCAATGCTTAAATCCTAATTTAGGATTAGGGCCAAATTTGACTCTTTGGGATTTAAGGGTAGCAGAATTTATAGGGGCCAAATTTAACCCCGTGGGTTCGCCAGGGGTTAAAAAAAAGTTTCTGGAAAAAGGATTTTTTTTTTTCTCCCATTGATGCCTCCAAAATACATTGAGCAGCACCGTGACCAAGCATTTTCTTGAGGGAATACAAATATACGCCTCGGAGACCCTCGCGACACCCCCTGCAATGTGGACACTCCCCTGCCATGGGAACTGGCAATTATTTGCTCTAATTTGCAACAGAAAGCTTTTTTTTTTTTTTTTTACTCTGTGGTGACTGTTTGAGCATGTTCTATTTAGTCTTCTCCTCGGGCTCTCTAAGTGATTAAAAAGTGTGGCAATTCAGCCAGCGAGGAAGAAAGGGGAAGCGCAAATACGACCGCGTGACCCCTCTTGTCGAGAGGCCCGCCGTTGCGCAGAAGCTCTCGAACGGGCTCTCCAAGAGGACGGACGTCGCATCCCCTCGGAGGGAGCTTCTTCGAGCCGCTCGACTGGCATGGGCGCGTCGTGGGCTGCCGCGCGCGGGTCACTGGCTGAAAGAGCAGGATCGGGCCTTTTGGACGCCGGCCAAATAGGATCTCACCCTGTCGCGCTCCATCCGGATTCGGACAAAAGGCCGGTCGGGCTTGGAAGAGATGCTCTCATCCTTACGATAACGGCCATATAAAAAAAAAAAAAAAAGAGGATCTTTTGGGTGAAACGTTCGGACTTGGAGATGGAGGTGCAGAGCCGACTGCTGAACTCAGCCTTGATGCACTTGGATGTAAACCTGATGGATTTTCCGGCAAATCAGCAAGCGGCCGACAGTCCGGACAGCGATGCGTCCTGGAGCCCCGAGCGCGGCTCGTGCGCGGAAGATCATCCGGTGATCGGAAGAGGAAGAGGAGGAGGAGGAGGAGGAAGGTCCGGCAGGTCCAAGAGGAGGAGGATCATCACGGTGGTCCAGCGACAGGCGGCGAACGTGCGCGAGCGCAAGCGGATGTTTAGTCTGAACGAGGCGTTCGACGCGCTCAGGAGGAAAGTGCCGACGTTCGCCTACGAGAAGAGACTCTCCCGCATCGAGACGTTGCGGCTCGCCATCGTCTACATCTCCTTCATGAAAGACCTTTTGGAGAACACTTAGCGGGTTCGCTCCATCCGGCGCACGATCCGTGACAATATTTGACGTCCGAGAAGTCGACAGCCGGAATTGTCTAGCAAGTTCCGAGTCGCGTGATCCGACCAACTTCTTCAAATCGATCTGCCTTTTTAGTTTTTTGTTTTTGATTGCGTAAAGTATCGCGTCAATCAATCGTGACGCTCCGGTCGTCATAATAGGTACACCCTGCACCTTGATCCAATCGGAAATAAAGATTCCATTTTGATTGACAGTCAATGCAGCAATGTCTCCTAAATTGGAGTGCGCTTCAACGAGAGATTTTGAACATTTTTTTCACTTGCTATGAGGAACGCGTGCAATTTTGCATCGCTGGAGATTACAATTTGAATTCAGGAAAAAAAAAAGGGGGTGGGGGATTAATAAGAATGACCTCAACTCAGTTAAAAGTGGAGCTGCATCATCTTTTTGTGTCCAAAAATATAAAATATTTTGAAAAAAGAACAATTTGGTGTTCTTCATATTTTATCCCTCTCAGGTGAGCGAAATGTGGGATGCAAAAGCTTTCCTTCATTGCATTCGAGAAGCGGGAGTTGTATTTCATTTCGCTCGTATCATCATCATCATCATCATTTGACTTTTAGTTATTTTTAATCCTATCTGGCACATCTACGTCACGTGATTTTCTAGGAATGCTCTAGAAGTGATCGTTTCGGGTTTTTTGGGGTTTTTTTTTCGGGAAACTGGCAAAGATTGATGAAAATAGTGCTGTGAGTATTTTTCCGTTTCCTTAATTAGTGCTAGAAATCATAAAAATGAATGTCTTGACAAAAAAAATGAATCTCATGAACTCTCTCAGGGACAGCGGTTACTACAGTGGACAGCTTACACCGAATGGCGATCATGGCAGAAAAATCGACCGATTGTCGGAGCAGCTTTGGCATCAGGTGAGACGTCGCAACGGCGAGTCAGGCAGGTGAGGTTGTTTTCAGCACCTTGGAGAGCGGGAAACATGCAAATCTCACCTGCGGGAGAAAAAGAGTCCACAGCCAAGGTTTGATTGACACTCTCGTCGGGTGCCATATGATCCTGTTCCAGTGCCAGGGAAAGATTTGCATGACAAATGGATTTTGAATATTATCTTTGACGCTGAGGTGCAAATTGGCCGTTGCGAATTCCACCTGTAGGCGATCCGCTTCACGGATGAGGCCCGGGTTATTATTTCGCATCACAAGCTGCCACTTCCGGACTTTGCAAGCTCTTGTTTCTTTATTGGGTTCTATTTTTTTTTTTCTCCTAAAAGAAAAAAAAAATCTTCGCCGAGTTCGGTCCTCTTCATCACCTCGAATGTTTGCTTTACGCCGCGGTCGTACACCTCCTTAGCGACCCCGCTGCGAGCCGGGATCCGCCCCGAGAGCTTCCCCGGGACGGGGCGTCTTTTAAACCTGAGCCGCGGTGTCGACGTCCCCGCGGGGGTCAGACCCATTTAAGCGCATACCTCGACGTGGGGCCGCTGACGGGAAAATAAACACGTCGGTCTGGTTACGACCGAGTCGAGGCCTCCCGCTGTTCGCAACCTCCTGTGTTTCACCCGGTTTATTTTTTTCCGTCAAAAAAGGGGGCATCGTTGTCCCTACGGTTGATCACGCCACTGGAGAGCATCCTGTACCTGACTCGGAAGTGTACTTGTGTACAAATGTCAAATTAATATTTACTTGCGACCTTACAGGAAATTGACGGATGGGTGATAACTATTAAACGAGGGCGAAGACAAGTTGCGGTACTCGAGATCCTCTATCCAGCCTGTTTTTATGTCCTTCTCTTCCGACACACCTAAAACAGAACGATCAGCAATTTTGAATTCACACAACTTGTCGGCTACAAAGTTACTTCCCATGACTGTATTTTTTTTTTTCAGTCATGAGGCATATGGAGGATACATTGCCACCAATTGGAGGATACATTAATTGCACTATGAAGGCCCCCCCCGCCCCACTGCACCCATTTCTGACAGTTCCAGTACACATTGCCCCTTTAGGGGTCGGTTTGTCCTCTTGCGGGACTGACACGGCTTGAAGAGAACACATGTATGACCGTGTCAAGGGAATCGTAAGTTAGAATTGGGGGGGGGGGGTATGCTGTGCCATCACAAAGGGTCATGACAATAATGCAAAAAGTAGGAATTCTAATGTACTGTCAGTATACGTGTTTATGCCGATGTGCGTATATGATGTCTATGTCAATATGTCTCCATTACAAAAAAAATATTTCTACATTTATGAAATGCATGTCATCGTGAACAGCAGGAAGTCCTATTTTTCATACAAGTGGGTCAGGTTTCCAAAAAAAAAATGAGCATCCGTCCCGTAAATAATATTGCTATGGCTGCGCGGGCACCCACAGCGGCTCCTCTTGTTGTCTGTTTAAGAGGGAGGAAATTTCATCTGTGCTGTCAATTTGACAATAAAATTGTACTTGATACTTAATTGATTATATTTAGTGCAGAAATGCCCCATCTAAGAAAACGGCCACAGATTTTGCGCACACAAAAACACCACTACCCCCTTTCTCTTTTTTTTTTTGCCTTAAAGTCCCCCTACTCTTCCCCTGATATTAACGCAAGTTATTTCTGCGGTGGTATTATGTTACACCCCTTCCCACCCAATCACAGCGCTCCCCAAAATCCTCCATTTCGCTCCCCCTGCAACTATAAGAGAGTGGGAGACACATCTCCGCCTTTGCACGGTGCAGCACATTTGCTTCCAAAAATCCGCTCAGGGTCTCTACATTTTTTTTTATGACACATGTGGGGGTCGCGGACCGGAATAGAGAGGGACAAGTGCTTCTAGAGCATCTCGGAAGACTTTGGAGAATGCGGGAAGACGACTCGTCCCCGATGGACAGCGCGGGGAACAGTGAGGAGGAGACCGAGCGGCAGCTGCCGAGGAGGGGCGCGAGGAAGCGGCGGGCGGCGGCGGCGGCGGCGCGCCGGAGCGCAGACGATTTAGACGACGCCGCCTTGGACGTGGAGATTCCCAAGAAGAGATGCCGAAAAAGTTGTGACCGCGGTGGCGGCAGCGTGGCGAGCGAAAGCGGCGAGGCAAGCAGCAGCAGCAGCCCCGCTCGCTCCATCGACGATCTCCAGAACCAGCGCGTCATGGCCAACATCCGGGAACGCCAACGCACGCAGTCGCTCAACGAGGCGTTCACGTCGCTCCGGAAAATCATCCCCACGCTGCCGTCGGACAAACTCAGCAAAATCCAGACGCTCAAGCTGGCCGCGCGCTACATCGACTTCCTGTGTCAAGTTCTGCAGAGCGACGAGTTGGACGCGCGGGGCTCCAGCTGCAGCTACGTGGCGCACGAGCGTCTCAGCTACGCGTTCTCCGTGTGGAGGATGGGGGACGCCTGCCCCGTGTCGACCACAAGCCATTAGTGGGCCCGCGTCGGATGGGACAACACGGTAAACCGCAGCTTGTGGACTCTCTCTTGCAACTTTTTTTGACGTGCAACCTGACGTCACGGATGTTCACGTTTAGAGCCGTTGCCTTGGAAATAGCTTCCCATTCGATTCCCGCTCTGCAGTTGTCGTTAATATCGCGTTTGAAAACAAAGGGTGGGCAAAGTAAGGCCCCGGGGGCCACGCACGGCCCACTCTGTGCCTTAATATGGCCCAAGCTCTTTCCATTATTTCCTCTGAAGGTTTGTCACTAAATTCGTTTTATTCATCGCAATCAATCGTCAGTTGATTCCTTGACCGTAAATATTGAAATAACCAACATGAGTAAAATGAATTATGTTTGTCATTCACGCGCCAAATTGAAGTCATTGTAAAAATATGTAATTATTAAATGAAAAGGAATTATAATCATTGTACTTATCTTAAGCTACACTGAAAAACTACTTTATTTGATCATGTACATCGCTTGCACATCACTAAAGGAGTCGTTTTCATGTCTTCTCAATAGTAATGTTTAATGCATTTTAATCATGTGCAATTCATGACCTGCATGGAACTCAAATGCGGCTCTTTAAGCACAAAACTTTGACCACCACCCCTGATAAAGCGATGCGCACAATATTTGAAACTTTTACCGCATACAATTGGAAATGTGTCTTCATCTGTCACTTCCAAGTGTCCCATTTGAATTTTGCTCCTTCATGACAGCAATATTTCTTTGACAGGTCGTCCACGCTGAAGAACTCGTGGCTCAGCCCAACTCTCCCCGACAAGACCGAACCCTGGAAAACGTGCAGCTGAAGCCCAGCTGCTCAGCTTCATTCCTCCTCCGAGAGCGGGATGTGCGAAATTTCCCGTTGCAGGGACGGCTGTGTTTGCAAGGGAGCACTTACAGGACAAGACGGATATGAAAGAGAGACCACTGCGACTATATGAATGTTGTAAAAACAAAATGAGCTGAGGAACTTGCTCTGTTTTTGAAACCAGAGAGAAACAACACCATTCCTTTTTACATTCCTCGTGACAATGTCTCACAGCCAATGGAGTATTTGTATTTATTTTTCTACCGCTGAGAAATCCGTTTGCCCCCCCTCCTCCCCCAATGAAATAAGAGATGTATTTATTTTGGGGTTATCTCAGAATGCCGAATCGATCTGTCGTCTGCACATTCTGAACATTGTAAATATTTGGTAATAAAGAAATGAAAGTAACAGGCTGGGAAGTATTCATTCGGTTGTTCCCCAACGACAATAAACTGTTGCGGTCACAAAAACAATCGTGCGTTGAACGTTCCTGAAACGTACCTGAAAGCACGGCAACAAAGTCATTTCCGGTGGCTTTAGCCTTTTCCAGTTAATCAAGAGAGTTTATTTACTTTTGTTGTAGCAGAATCCCGAGCTAACGAAGCCACGGTGGCGGCGGCGGGTGGGGGTGAAAGAAAACATCTCATACCTCTGGATTACTCTAAAGTTATTTCTTGCACTCGGGGATCTGGGAGCGCCGTAATTAGCTGGCGGGGGCCGTTGGAGCAGTGGGAAGCATGCATGATATTCCCACATGTCCTCCCGAGTCACAGGTCAGCAAGGGAGACTCCTGCAGGTGCTTTTGAAGTTAGCCTAGCGAGCTTTAAAGAGGTGGATACGGGTCAGGCTGCAAAATGCGCTTTCTTATTTTTTATTTGTATTTTTTTGTGTGTGTGGGGGGGGGGGGGGGGCCAGAAATTACCAGGCACTTGGGTGTGGGGGGGCGGGGGGGATCAATTCCCACCCGTAGCTCACCGTGGCAGTGTTATCTTAAACTTGAGGCCGTTGCGCTGACATGTAGGAATGTCACCTCCGAGGCTTCGCAAATGGGTCCAACTACACCCATCGAGGTTCGCCACGCACACGAGGAGATTTCTCAACGATATATGCGTTGCCGCGGTGAGAGAAGAGAAAGGACGAATGCTCTTTCGCCTTCGCTCCCCTTTTTTTTGACTTCAGAAGGTAAAGGGGTGACTGGTTGTTATCAGCGTGAAGGCATCTGGTGACGATGTCCTGATTTACAGGCTCTTTGATGACCGAAACGCACGCTGTCTCCCAGCCATGAATCACCATTTCAATTGCCCGGCTTTGGATTGGATTTTCCCTCTCTCTCTCTCTCTCTCTCTCTCTCGTTGTGCTGTTCAACTCATGAGATGATATTGCATAAAAAAAAAAAAACTCACAATTGTAATTGCCTTGGTTGTATTTATTCCGACGGAGAAATGGACCGATGATGTCAAAAATGAAAATGTGATGACGGCTCGATAGATAGAACTGACTTACACAAATGCTCTATGTACAGAATATGCCTTTGTCCGATAAAAGAAGTACACCGTGAGAAGTAGAAAGAAAATGTCAGTGTTCTTCAGGCGGCATCGGAATTCAGGGTGAGTACAATTTATGATGATTTTTTATTTTTTTTTATGTTTTATGATACAGTGGATAACTTCATTTTCACACTTTGACAGCAAAGAAGTGTCATGCACGGAGCAACTCCACTTCGCTGGATGCTGCAAGCCTCACAAACTTCCTCAAAGGGTGAGTCATTTCATTGTTGTTTTTTTTTTTTTTTTTTTTTTAGCTTTATTGGTTTGTTGGCGTCAAAGTCCTGCCGCGAACAGACTTAAGTCTAGATAACTCTTCAGGACCACTCTGGAAGACTGCTCGTGGTGTAAGGAGTGTTCCAAAACAAGCTCCCAAAAGTGGCCCATGATAGCATTCAGACTTTGCAGATTTTCCAACAGAAGGAGAGCAAAGTTGGAACTGTTTTGAACAACTGTGATGAAAATCATCAACCCCCGGGTGAAAAAAAATGTAAATCCACAGTTCTTGTGCACACAAGTCAGCTTCAACCCAAAACTCTGAGTAGTTTGTACTTTTTCTTTCAAAACAATATTTTGCCAAGCCAATTCGCCGGCCATAAAATAAGCGACTCGAGTCGATTCGAGTCCCAAGTCGTATTCCTCCAGTTCAATTAAGACTCTCAAAAAGGAGCAACAATCTTGCAAAAGCTTTTTGAATCCACAGACGGGACTGGCAAGGTAATGGCCCATTAAGTCCTAATGAAGAGACAGGATTGCTTGAGGGGCTTTATAAAACAGGCAGGGGCCAAGGGAACACGGAAGTGACCCGGCAGCAGTTAACGCACACTCCCACTTAGTCTGCAGCTCACACACACACACACACACACACACACACACACACACACACACACACACACACACACACACACACGTGCGCGCATTCCCCGAGGGCGGTGCCAACTGCACCCATCAATTCCTGACCTGCGGCCTCTTAACTAACCCTGTCGCCCGCACGTCGACGACCCCCAAGCTTGACAGCCATCGACCGCCACAAAGTCACTATTGGGTGGACAGGCAGAGGTGCGTCGGATTGAAAATTGTCCTGACCAGGGCAGGACAACGAGACAACATCCGAGTGAGAAAATAAAGAAAGAAAGTAGGCGGGCAAATGAAGGGACGGAACATACGTGACGCTTCTCGGTTGCCCTGCTCGGGGGCTGTTTATCTTGCAGATTGAGTTAAAGGCGAGCCTCTTCCAACCCTCCGCATACCAGACAATATCACAGTGGCTCAGCTTTAGGAATATAAACAGACAAGCTTTATCAAAGACGAGCGTGGCTCTTTAAAACGCATCGGCTCTTTCTCCTAACTTAATTTACGGCGCCTTACGCAACGGGCCTTTATTGGATTTAAGCTGTTTGAATGTCTTATTCGGCCTGAAAATGGGGATGGGGGGGTGGGGGCTTTAGGGGGTTCTATTGATATGGGGGTTAGGACTCCCATTTCCGTGTTTGTCTTACACTCGCAGGCTCATTGGAATCTATCAGACATTCTACATTTGATTTTTTTTTTGAGGGGGGTGGGTGGGCTTTAAATGAGTACTTTCTGTACTTAGTCTGCTCCACTGAGTTTTTTTTTTTTTTTTTTTTTTTTTTTTGGTGGTGATGATGTGGGCAAAAAAAAAAAAAGTTGCGTCTCCAATGACTGTTTGCATCATCCGGTGTTACGTTATGTGGGTTTTCTCCCAGTTGAATTCAATCGCGGTTGATAGGCGTTGCGAGGGAGGGGCGACTCGGCATCTCGAGGAGCTCAGTGTCGCTGGGAGAGAATGAGAGCCTTCCCTGTCGGGTGGTCTTTCTTTTTTTGCTTCTCCTTCCTTAAGCCTTCTCTAATATGTTGCCATCTTTTCTGCCTTTCTTTCTCCCGGCCTGAAAATCCCCCTCCTTTCCGTCCACCCTCCACCCTTCTTTTTTTCCCCGCTCCTAATATCTGCAATATCATCTCCCCCACTAATTTCCTCCGCTATGTTTACCTCGGCGCACACATACAAAAACACCCAGTGTGCCTCAGTAGTTACTTCATACAACCGGTGGGTGATTAGGCCTTGAAAAACCCCACAAAGAAAACCACACCAGACAATCAAAGATGCCTCAAGTCTTTCAAAAACCAAATTTTGATGATTCAGCGATCAACACCGGCAAGCAGCGCCTCCCATCTGCCTCTACGGCTGTTCTGTGCGTTTTACAAGCACTGACTTTTGCCATCTAATGAGTCTTTTTCTAACTTTTCTTTTCTTTTTTTTTTCTTTGAGCTTCGAAAAGCGGTCTGCTGAGTCAGTGCCAAAGTACACACACACACACACACACACACACACACACACACACACACACACACACACACACGTTTTGCTCAAAGTGCAGACATGGGACAACAGGAAAAGTGGAAAGTAACACCACCTGAAAAGAAGCAAAAGGTCCCCCTGAGACCAAAAGCTCATATAAATGCAAGGAGGGACACATAAATACTGAAATGGTGATGGCATGTGTGTGTGTGTGTGTGTGTGTGTGTGTGTGTGTGTGTGTGTGTGTGTGGGTGTGTGTGTGTGTGTGTGTGTGGGTGTGTGTGTGTGTGTGTGTGTGTGTGTGTGTGTGTGTGTGTGTGTGTCGTACAGGTTTAGGGTGAAGTTCATTATTTTTTAACAGCACATGCAGATTAGCGTTTATCAATAATAAGCAACACAGCACAAGGGCGCTATTTCAGGGCAGCACCTGCACCCAAATCTGTCCCCATAGTGTCTGGATGGCTGAAAGAATTGTTTTCATCTACTGCTTTTATACATCGGCTCTGCTTTATTTCATCTTCTTTACTACTTAGTAAAAAAAAAAAAAATCCAAGGGCCCCATCGTCAGGATTTGGCACAGGATGCGGACCCCCCCACCCCAGTGCGTATTGGTACACTGAAACCTGAGCTGCGGGAAGTGGCCCTGCGCATCATCACGTTGAGGCAGACAAATAACTCACCGTTTGAAACGTGCTCTCGTTTTGTGCCCGCTTTGGCTTTATTTTCCTCTTTCATCTCCATCACTCGGCTCCTGTCATCTTCGTCGTCTTTTATTGTTTTCCTTTAGGCTCTCGTTGAAACCGTAAGAAAGGAAGGGGGGTGGAGGGCGGGGGAGAAAAAAATACCTGTGTTATCTCAATACGAGCTAGCGTTTAAAGACAAAACGAGCTGCGGCTGGCTGGGGTTTAGTTAGGCCCCCAAATTCCAGGAAATATTTTCTTGCGCCATTCCCTGAAGATTTGTGGTCGTCCTGCCCACAATATCCCTATAATGTTTTCGGTGGAATTTCCACAAACGATAAAAAGCAAGTTTTGGAAGAGTGAAGCGTTGATCTTCCTTATCGCTGCACGCTTGGATTATTTTACCTTGCAAATGCGACTGTGAAAACGCCGCGGGAGGGAGCAACATAGTGCGGCTTTTAAGGGGAGAAGAATGAACACAACCCCCGCACCCAAAAAAAAAAAAAAAAGAATCCAACTACTTACACATAATATAATAGAAATGATTGTCATGTGGAGCGGTGACATGACGCAAAAAAATTGCCAATCGACGTTCAGTGTCATCGAGCTGATGAACGCAACAAAGATTTTGCCACTAATATGTGTTGGGTTTTTCTTCTCAGGTCCGAGGGTCCAGTGTCGGCTTTCCTGCATGGGGTTTGCATGTTGTCCTCAGTGCCAAAACGTTCACGGTAGGTTCATGAAAGACTCTGAATTGTCCACCGGTGTGAAGGCGAATGGCTGTTTGGGGCACATCCTCGCAGCCTGGGCCCTGAGCTGTCACCCCACGGGCGGGAAAAAAACAAAACAAAAACATTCTTTGCACTGTTAGTACAGTATTCAACGAAATGTTATTGGTGGTTCAAAGGTTTATTTTTTTGGGTCAGACTTAAAAAAAAACAACTAAATGCTTAAAAAATATTTTTAGGGTCACCTAAAGCCATCTCTGATGGAAATTTGCTGTTGACCAGCCTTATTGTTGACTGCGCCTGATTGTATGTCGCAATACGTTCCATTGGACGTCAATTGTGATCATCCCCCTTTTCCTTAGTCACCCCGAAAACAAAAAGAGAACGCAAAACACGCTCAGCTCATCTATGAGATGTTCACTGAGGAATTTGGAAGTCATGCATGGGCAGCGTTTCAACAGTTCTGCTTGTGTAATTTATTGACAGTTTTTTTTTTTTATATCCCCCTGGGCAGTTTTAATCAAATTCTAAATTGTATCGTATGAGTTGAGGGGCATTTAAATTTTATAGGCGACATTGAACCAAGACGGAAAATGAATCGAATGCCGATGCAAAAAGAAAAACTGATGTAACAAGAATGATACGGTCTTTGTGCACCAGGAAGTGGCCACTTTCCTCCCCTTTGCTTCCCACTGCGACGGTGTGAATTAAGCCGAGGTCAACGGGGAAGACGTCGCTGTTCAAGTGGGGTTCGGAAGAATAGCATCTCAACACTCTTACCCCTCGGGTAACTGCTGCTTGGGACAATTGAGGGCACACACACACACACACACACACACACACACACACACACACATGCTGAAGTAAACATCTCGCTGGTGAAATACTAAAAGTCCCCCTGGGGAAGTTGGCCCACTGGCCTCACAGAGTGACCCTTGTTACCGAGGTGATTAGATATTGCAATGCCTCATCTGCAAACATTTAGCCAGTGTCAGCCCTCATCTGCAACGTGGCACCGGGGGCCACCGCAGGCAAACACAGCCAAGGATGTGATTGAGGACATGTGACAAATGTTACGTTTTCTTCATTTCTTCTGTCAGGTTTCCAGTTGAGGAAAGGATGCCGTATGCTACGAGATGCATGATGTGAAGCGGTGAGGTGGTGAACAGCCCAAAAGTGGCATTTAACTCTCACAACCTTTTTTTTATGGGGGGGTGCGAGGTATGGTTTTTTTGGGGGGTGGGGGGGGGTCAATGTGAGAGATTTTGTATTCAGTGTGAGAGCATTTCTTGAGCACAAGATGTTTTGGGGGTTCTGTTGCGGATTTTGTTGGGTGTAAAAAATACTTGAGATTTTTTTTTGTGACAATGAGAATTTTTTTGGGTGACACTTTTTTGGCATGAGGTTTTTTTTTGTTATGTGTGAAAGCGTTTCTTGTATGTTTGGCTTTTGGGGGGATCTGTGTTCTGAGTTTATTTTTTTGAGTGTCAGATTGTTTTGGAGTTTTGGGAGAAAATAAGAGATTTTTGTGAGTTAGTTATTCTGGAGAGATTTTTCTTCGGATGTGTGGGATTTTTTTTTTGTGAGGGCAAAGGTTGTGTTGTGGAGGTAAATGTCATTTTTGTCCTATGTAGCACCTCATGTATATAATTTATCCAGTTAACGAAGGTTTACAGTTACTCCAGTGGTAACAATAGTGTCTTTTTTCAACAGATTGATGAAACCAGGTTTAAGCTCTTGGTAAACTCGTTTTGTTGTAAAAGTGAGGAAATACACATTTTTTTCCCTCAAATGATCTATTTTACACCCACTTGATTATTTCCCTCCTTTATTTCCTCCCCTAAACATTCACAATGGAACATTCCCAATCTGAATATTCCCGATAAAAAGTGCGTATCGGCATGGCTTTTCCTCATCATGAAATTACTATCGGTTGTCACATTCCACCTCCTCACCCTTGACCCCTGACACACCGGTCTTCCTCCTTTAGGCCAAACCATCCTGACCGCCACGCATTAGGTCACTCATTGGCCTGACTGCGACTTGGCTTTATGCTCACTCTGCAAGCAAGTCAATGACTCCTCAGAGGGACATTAATAATTTACTAGAGGCTCCGCGGCGCACGGAACATGAATATGTTCTCATGTTTATGCACACATAGAACAACCCAGAAATGTCCAATTATATATCCCTGTAAAAGTTACCTGATATACTGCTGGATCAAGAGACCTTCTGTTTCCTTGAAAATAGAGAAGCGGTAGCCATCGCTCATGCGCAGCAGTCCAAAAGGGGGATTGACTCTTTGTACGACACTTGTGTAAAAGGCGCTTTTTAATATATGACAGCGTGTCAGGCAGTTGGGAAAAGCAAAACCGCCGTAGCCCTTTGTCATCACTCTCAGCCAGAACACTCATGCTGAAAACATTCACACTTTTACCAGAATACGGAATGAGAAGATCCGGCCACCCGTGTTCCACAGCGCTTGCCGTCATTCACTGGAAGCTGTCCTAGCTGACTTTGGGCTCTCCAGCCAAAGATCCATTTCCACTCACATTCTTTGGGTAATTTATAGTAGTCAATTAATATTCAACTTTTTGGAAGATGGAGGACATGTAGACTCCTCACAGGAAGGCCATAACTGAGATTTGAACCCAGAATCTCAAAACTTAGAACCTCAGAACTGTCGGGCTGACCTGATAGCCCCTAATTGACTTTGCTGAAAATCACCAACTGCTCTCCTTGAAGAAAATATACTGTACCTTCAAAATACTGTATGTTCATTTGTGATTGTAAGAAGTAGTGCTTGTTTGGTAAACAAACAAACGCAAATAACAGTCACAATGTATTTATTTGGTGCGTTTTCTATGCGTAACAACATTTACCAAGTGATTTATTTGAGACATTCCAAGACGAGCGAGCGTCCTTCTCTTGACAGTTCAACGTCCCGTTCCAGGGAGCCCAGAACGGATTAGCAGCGACCTCTAGTGTTCACCGTCAGTCATGTAATACAGTACAGTAATTGGACTTGAACCTACTTGCTGCTTCGCAAAGTGTAGGGGAATTAGTTTATTTTATTTTACAAAAATAAAACACAATATCATTAGACAAGTCCCAGCCAGGGACAACCAATCTCTTCAAACACTTACTGACATGTCATTGTCGATACAAAATTAATTATTTATTCACCTGAACGCATGCAAATGGTAATTTAAACTTGTTCAGCTCACAGAGATGCGATGTCAGACGCAGGGTGACACGGAAAGACAAATGAAACACGAGAAGGCCGTGGTGATTTCTTTAGGATGCATTCAGGATTGATGTTCCATCCTCTCAAACGAGGGGGCACGCTTGCATTTAGTTTTGACAGTTGGAGCTTCCAGGTGGAATTTTCACCCCATTTGAAGATTGTGACCGACAAAGTGCAGTCAAGCAGCTTCTTTGCTCCAACTCCCCCCTGCTCACTATAGCATTTAAGTGCTGAAGTAGGCTAGATCTTATCTAATGGATGCCACAAGACAATGAATTATGTATTATGCCTTTTGTGGTTATAGGTTGATCATGTGACCTGTATTTTTTTTCAGTCAAAGTCACTTCCTTTCAATAGTGATTAGTTATTTCATTGCAGCAACAAGTAGCAGTAAAGTACTGTAAAATGCTGTTGAACCACAATCATCTTTCTTCCTCTATCTATGCCAGCGATTTACACAGTTAATGCACTTTCACGAGATGATTGGAACTTTGGCCGAAAAAAAATACGTCATGCAGTTTGAATATTAACACTTTACTCTAGTAAAAGAACAAAAATAATCCGATTATATATTATTATAGTATATATACTTTTATTAATAGAAATGCATTGCAAATACAAGTTAAATATAAACTGTACCTAAGTATATGTTTAAAAACAGTGAATAATAAAGTACGAAGGCCGAATTAAATAAAATTGAACTGCAGTTGGGCAGAGATTTAACGTACCACTAGAGGGACCCCGCACACAACGAGTGTACTTACATCATACTGAATAACAGTTTTTGATGATGTTTAGTATTCCACGTCGTGCTGTATCGCATGGAACGCTGTCAAATTCAAAGCCAATCTACTTTTAGTGTTTATTTGTGTGTTTCTTTGTGTTTTAATAAACAGAGCGGCAACCCTCCACTGAATGAGCAATCAGTACTATCGGTGGAAATAGACAGCCTCAAACTTAAATATTGCTTAGCGTACCATGGAAGCTTGGGCAGCCCAAGTTGCTCAATAACATCTGGGAAACGTTGTTTCGATAAACTGCTCTGCGCTGAACTGAATGTTATGCTTGGGGTTTGTTCAATCGTGATTGTTTCTGCATATGTGTCACTGTCAAGTCAGTCACGGGCGTGAGGCTACGTCAGCCCGTCCCAGCCAATCAGGCGGCGACGTCCGCAAACGGGGCGCTGGAGACGTACACCTCACAAACATGGCGACGCTCGAAAGCGAATACGGAGATTGGAAATACGACCGTTTTTAACCGTGAAGAAAGCAGTCCCGTTGGCGTGTTACGATGTGGCGGGGTTAACCAGGGCCACCGGACGCCTTTTGAACGATGTTCGCAGAGGTAAGTTACAACTGACGTCCGTGTTACTGTGAGTTTAGCAGCTTTCGGCGGATGCTTGTCAAGCCCTGGAAGCTAGGCGGCTAGGCGTGAGCCCAGCAGGTAAACACACACACACGTACAGATTGTCATGGGAGAGGACGGACGCAGCACAGTCTCGGCGCTTCTACAAAGCTTGTCCGCTATAAATGGTACTCAACCCGGGATTACACAGCTAACGCGACGCTAATACCATGATCTTGGGCTATTTCGTACTGTCAACACTGCGCTGAAATTAGCTCGACTTGACTAATGTAGATAGGGAGTGTTTATATGATGATAAACGGCCTCCACCGGGAAAATTCGACACCGCACAGATCACAGGTGAGCTGGGTGTTGGCTTGTTTTTTTTTTTTTTTTTCGGCCAGGTGAGTCGTTTGTCAACTCCGCAGGAGTCAGTTAATCGCGTGGATGCCGTACGACGCGTTTGTTAAACGCTGAGAAATGTTGTATCGCTTCCTTTTGACATTTGGTTGGACTCAATAGATAATCTGCTTGCGTGTTTTAATGTGGTTCTTGGAGCAGCCAGACTGTCAGGTCACGTGAGCCTTTGTCACAAACAAAACATTACCAAAAGCAGGCAGGTTTGAAGTTGAGGCAATGTGACGTATGATTGACTTGGTGATCCGTGGTATCTTGATTTAGAATTCGTCCCGTGACGAAACTCGGAAATTAAAAAGTTACTTATTCCCCCAATTCAAATGATGATGCAGCCCCTCCAAAATTACCACTTTTTTGTCGGCGTCTATAATAAAGAAAAAATAGCACCGTATTGGATTCGCAGCACAAGCTGTCCTCTATTTGATGGCATCTTGCTGCCAAGAAACTATGTTGGAATTGAGTAACTTCAAAGATGGGAGTTTGCAACAACAAAACAAACATGTAACCTTTCCTCATTCCCTGCTAGCCTCAGTATTTTTTTAAATAACTTTTCCCTGAATTAAACTAACCAATCAGAGACTAGTGACAGCAGGCATGATTGAGGGAAACTTCAAATAATTGCAGCGCTGATTAGTGACAAAACCTCTATGGAGTGCGAGCAATGTGGCAGCCTTGGCATCCACCCATACATGTGTGTTAGTGAGCTGTGGGCATTTCTTTTGGACAGAGGGGTGGGTTACGGCGTTTAGAGGGCGGGACATGAGGCTACATTAAAATCTTGCTAGCAGTTCCAACTCGCCATACTTACAAGATTGCGCAAATGTTTTTGTTTTCACGCCTAATTTGCATATCTTGTGGCATGACAAACACGCAAAAACGTTAAATAAAATGGATTATACTCACCGGAGATGCTTGTTATTTTTCGGCAAAATCCACCATCTTTGGCTAATTTTGTTGTTTGGTAGTTAGCTAGTTGTTGCTGCTCTAGGAGTTAGCAGAGAAGGCCCTAAAGGCCCTAACTGCACACCACGGAAATTATGGGCAAATGCACTTACTCAGAGTGAAATCTATGCATTGAAAAGACAATCACGGAGACGAAAATTAATAATATTCAGACCATTGACCATTTCCTGATGCTGTCTCAGATGACCTCACTCTGTCTTGTTGTTTGCCGCAAAGCTTTAGGCACCAACTGTCCGGGCGCCCGAAGGGGATCTGCATCCCAAAATGTGACTCCAATCTTCCTTTAACGCTTTCTGGTAGTGTTTGCATGATGACAGAACCCCATCAGGTAAATGAAAATTGGACTTCCTTGGCAGAGGTCTAATAAAGTTGAATTAAGGTGATAAGAGGCTCTTCTGGGCACCTCTCCAGCGGTTTAAGTGCACATTTAGCCTCGGTAACGAGGCTTTAGTTGCCACTGCAGTATTCTTTGTGTCATAAAAACAGTACGGTCTTTGGTGAGTCACGGTCCTCTTCGTTTGCCAGCTTTCTAAAGGTTTACTTTTCAATGGGAAAGGTACAAACCGAAGAACGCATTAGCCTTCTGAAGTACCTGCCCGACATGCATCTGCATCCTCTTCAATTAGACATGAGCGCACTGTTTGACGGGATCGGCTGCACGCGTGCTGCTAAAACACCGCGTCGTCGGAGAAGCCGTTTAAATGTTCCCTTTCAAACGCGTGTGCCGTAAGATACGATCACATCAGGCTTTTGGGTCCGACCGCCTCTCCTCTGTGAAAACGATTGGCTTTCATGTGCACGCTGAGGATATACTCGTCCTTCCCTGATCACCTATTTAGGGCTCTGGCATAGTAAAGCGCCACAATCACTCGCTGACCTTGTCCTTCCCCGTTTGGCCCAAGTCTGATTTGAACTGACCTTTGTCACACACTTAGCCCGCATGTCACCTTGGACATCTCGGCCTCCTCCTGTCCATCAAAGGAATTCGCCGATTTGACAAGCTGGGCGGTCTGCGGTTTGGCAGGCCGACTCATGCGGCTGCGTCCCGCTTGATGTGGTTTTTGGTACCGTCTGCGTTGCGGTCATGCGGCCATGCAACCGTCGCATCGGAGGTTGTTGTTCAGTTGAATCCCCAAACGGACAAAAGGCTCTTTCTTGACGCCACTGGCTGCATTCGCAGACTGCAAATAACGTCCAACTGTCAGCGCCACGTCCTGCGGGAGTAACGTAAACCTCCAGTGCCTGTCATCTTCGGAAATGATTCTTCTGCTTGTCTTGTGTATCCACGGACGTTTTAACATCCAAGCACGTGCGTTCAACTTGGCTTGACGCCGTTTGCAATCTCATTGCATGGCAGAGTTTTTATGTGAGACCGAGGAATGAGGCACTTGAAAATGAGAAAGTGCTTGGCTGTCTCTTTAACCGCCTTCGGCCAAGAATGTGATCCAGACATCATTCAGAGGTGCTCGGAGTCGTCATACCTCATGATGCCCCAAGTCCCCTCACAGATCCTTGGAACTTTAAGTTTTGTTAATGAACGTTAATGTTAATGCCATGTTTGCTCTGTCTTTTAGTCACCAACCAATACGGTTATTATGTGCTAAGTCTTTATTTTATTTTTTTTCTCTCTCTGTCAATGCTTTTAAAGCGGACAATATTCTGCTCTTGGCAAATCGCAGCAAATCTTTGCCTAATGCATTCCCGGATGGATTAGGCGTGAGCAGTCATCCCTGTGACTCTCTCCCTCATTAACTGGGGGGATCTCCCGCCGGCCAGTTTTAATGGCGTAAGCTAACAACATGCTGCCTAATGACAACGCTGATCAGGGCTGTGGTCACCCATGAGATGATCTCAAGTGTGTCAGGAACCAACCGAATCACGCTTCTCTCTGCGGCCGCGGAACGTTAAACATTTCAAGCCCGCAGTGACAAATCTTATACTGGCCGTGTTAATCAGTGGAGCAGGTGGTTCATGTTTTAAACCCCGCAGCGTAAGCCGCAATAACTCGCACTGTTATCATCTCGTCTACAAAGCCGCCCAGCATCGGCGCCTTCGCCATCGCGGGGCATACCACCCGGATGATAAGACTCCGCGTCGGCTGACGTCACGCGTGGCTCATGTAACACATTTCAAGTGGGTCTTTTTCACGCAATGATTGTGCTTTTTTTTTTTTTTTTTCTCTTTTTCCTGGAACGTCAGTTTGTTGCCTTTTAATGAGTAATTTGAGGTTAACCAGCGAGGCCACAAAAGATTTTTTTGGATCCCCCACCTACCTTGGGATCTTTGTTAGATGTGAGTCGAATAGGAAGTCTTGTTGAGCCTGTTTGAGCACTCGCTGCACCTTGGACATTTAGAGACATACCTGAGTGATTCCTAGTTTATATTCACCTTGCGCACATCAAAAAAAAAAAAAAAAGGACAATGAATGCCGTGACGCAAAACAAGTGTTGGAATTTTTTTTTCTCCCTCTGGCATTTATTTCATTTCTCATGAAACAAAAAAGTTTGTCCCCGGCGTTATCTCGCATCAACGCCCACAGAAAGGCACAGCAAAATATTTGCGGCTTTGAAGCACGTACCTCAGGTCAACATTTTGCAACTTGTTGATAAAGCACCATGTCAAGGTCAGATTGGTTTTTGGGGGGTTTGTTTGCAATTTGTTCAGAGACGCTCTTGTTCCTACTTTTCTCGACCGGGAGTCTGCCCACTTGACAGGTCATCGTTTAGTTGATGAGAGAGAGGCTGTTAAAAGCAAAGTCAGGGTCGGGGCTTCTCCAAGGTTTGGTAGTGTGCTGCTGCTGTGTTCTCGGCACACAAGCATTGTCACTCTGAAGTACAAGTCATGGACACGATGTCACTCACATAAACACTTGCACAATTGCAACGATTGGAAACGGGAGTCGAGATGAATGGTTAAGTGGCTGTTCACATCTCGCAACGTCGACACATCTGTCATCTGAGCGAGGTGCCTGGCTCCGTCCGCCGGTGTACGTGAAAACAACGCATCGATATTGTTGTCTGACTCCGTCTCTGCAGCACTTCACGTTGTAACGCAAGGGCGGGCCGAGATCATCGGATCATCATCCCCCCATCAGCGTGGCTACTAGAAGCCGAATTGTTTTGGCGAGCCTTCGTGCAATGCCTACGCTCGAAGGTGGCGCAGCGCTCTTCTCTGTGCTGATAGTTCCAGTTCGCCCTGCGACCCGACTTGCTTGTCCAGAAAAGTGGGCCGGCAGACTTGCTCGCCGGGTGCGAGAGCTTTTGTTTCCTGCGCTGACAATAACAGGAACAGTATGGGAAGCGGCTTATGACTATATGCCCACAAAATGCAACCTCACGTCTCTTTGTGTGATACCACTTGAACCTCGCGTTTTGTCACGGTTTCCTGTGCCCCAAAATGTTTTTTTTTTTTCGAGTTAGCGTGACGTACAGGCGAAGCCATTTTTGTACGATACTGAATAAAAATATGAGTCGGCATGTTGTCGAAATACTTTCAATCTAGTTATGATATTAAAAGTGTCATTCTGTAATTCAATTCAGCCAATCGGATATTCTCGAATGTCAAACTTACGTTTTGACTTTTTTTTTTCCTCCGCCAGAGTGGAAATGACTTTTTTTTTTTTAATGGTGTGTGTGTGTGAAGTGTGAATGTGCTTGGTGAAAGAAGAGTATGCATTTTTGAGGAAATACAATTAAAATATGCCAAAAGGGGGAAGGGGTGTCACAGGTTGTGCGTATATTGAAAATTTGTGAAGCTTTGTGAAATTGGGTTGTAAAATATGAATACGCTGTCTGAATTTAGATTTTTTATTTTTTTTTCCCAACATGAAGCCGATTTAAGGTTACTTGGGACATCTAGTTAGATACTTTCCTTGACATTGTTGTTTAAGCTGTCGTTAAATGATGATTCCATTTTTATTATTATTTTTTTTTGTAGGCCAGTCTGTCCTTTTGGGGATGGGGGGGTCTTGGAGTAGTGCTGTTCCTCGTCACTTTCGGACCCTTCGCCATATTCTACCTGGCCTTTTACATCCTCTGCTTCATCGGCGGGTGAGCAGGCGCGCTTTTTTTGGGCGGGGGGGGCATAGACACGGATGTCAGCCTGTCACTCTTGAACTGGTTTACTCCCACAGGGGCTTTGCTGTCACTCTGCTTTACGGGAAGATCAACTCGGAGAAGTACTTGGAGAGGTGCGAGCACTCCTACCTGCCGCCCCCACCAATTGGTATTTTAAAGGTAAAACATTTGACTGTGTTCGTGTTGGACATCTGCAAGTTTCCCCCTCTCATGGTTCTGCCTTTTTTTGGCAGACGCTGGATGAGATGAAGCTGGAGATGAAGCCCATCAAGATCGACAGGCGACTGACTGGCTCGAGTTTCATCGATGAACCTCTGCAACAGGTTTGCGACAATCTGAAAATCGCAACCGCGCGACTCGCTGCACAGTTTGGCCAAGCGGTGCTTTTTTGGTTTTTTTTGGAGCACTTTTGTGACAGGTCAGCAACTTTAAAGGCCCACATGAGCCATCCTAACCTCAGTCTGGTTTGTTCACGTGGAGTCTGTTGTGTTGCTTTATTGCTCCGTCAGCCCGTTGTATGCCCGCACTTGTGACGCAAACATTTTTTTGCAATTCAAATGAGGCCAATGCAAGAGGAAGAATGAAAGCATGCGGGCGAGGCGTCAGATAGTATCAGCATCTTCAACTTAAAAGCGAGCACGATCGGATGCTTCATCTGCATTTGAGTTGTCCGAAAGCGATGCAAGTTGGCCACTTCGTGTAAGCTCAAGCAGCGTGGCCAGCATCGTTAAGCAGCGACGCAGCAATTTTTTTTTTTTCCCAACCTCGCAAATACTGGGAATCCTTGATGAAGGATCTCAAGTGAGTAGGGCGTTTTTAAAAAAAAAAAAAAAAAAGAAAGGAAAAACAAGTGACTTGTGCTGATTCACTTACCACACAAACCACGTCAAATGCTGATTTTCTGTCACTTTTTTTAAAAATACAAATGCACTCTGTTAGCATTGCAGCATGTTTTATTTTGAAGTTGGCATTTTTTGAGGGTTGGTGTTTTTTGCCACCTTGACATTGTAAATGGCGACAGCAAAGTGAAAGGACCCATGAAACGGACTTAAAATGCCTCAGATGTCAGTGATGACTTGAAAATGTCAATTTGACACCATGAGGACATTTTTTTCGGTGAGATCTGTTTTTTCTTGAACAGACATACACGACTCTAATCAACAAAATGAAATCAGATTTGATTTCCACCAGGTTTCTATGTAAACAAACAAGGCTCTGATTCTTGAATGCAATTTTTTGAAGCATTATTTATGACTTTTTTTTTCCCAACTCAAGCTCTCAGATTGTTAGCGCTTGATAATTAACAAATTTTCACAGCTTTTTTTTTTTCCTTCTTCTTTTTCTTTCTACTAATGTCCCTGCAGGTGATCCAGTTTGCCTTGAGAGATTATATCCAGTACTGGTACTACACTTTGAGCGAGGATGAGTCTTTCTTATTGGAGATCAGACAGACGCTGCAGAACGCCCTCGTCCAGTTCTCCACGCGGTACGCGTCTCACACATACACACACACTCCGCAGCCACTTCATTAGGGACAACTGCAAAACAGACACTGTGCAAGATGAATCGATTTAACCAAATGTAAATGCTATCGCTGTCGTGGGCGCCGGTTGGGTTGATTCCACGGTTTTAGCGAATCTCGTTGGTATTGTCACACTTATCTGTTCAGGTCCAAAGAAGTGGACTGGCAGCCTTACTTCACCACTCGCCTGGTGGACGACTTTGCCACCCATTTGCGTGTCTTTCGTAAAGCTCAGGATCGTCTCCCAGACAAAGAGGATAAACAAAGTAAGCGCCGACGCTCTCGCACTCGTCACAAGCCACGATCGCTCACGTGACCCGTTGACAAATTTGAGTACCGTTTGTTGCATGGCCGTGAATGACAAGGACAGAGCACGTGCGGTTTGTTTGACGGATTTGTTTGGTCTGAACCGGACAGGGGACAACATAACAGAGGAGCTGATCGACTCGTTTTTCGAGGCCGAAGTGGAGATGGAGAGGAAGATTTGTCGAGACGTAGTCTGCACTTCCCTGAAGGATGAAGAAGGTAAACAAACTCAGCTCTGTTCCGATGACTCGCGTCAAACAATCAATCGTCGGCGTGATTTGTCGCCCGATGTTTTGTGTCAGGTTTCCTTCGAGACTTGTGCGAGTTGCTTCTGTATCTCTTACTACCTCCCGGAGACTTCCACAACAAGAACATGAGATATTTTTTAAGAGTGAGTGCGCACTCGAAACAGTCACGCCTCCGCAACAGCGAGCCATCCCGCCACGGCGCCGTGTTCTCATTTCCACCCGCGTGCGTTTTTATTTAGGAGGTGTTGGCGCGTGGCGTCCTGCTGCCTCTCATCAACCAGCTGAGTGACCCGGACTACATCAACCAGTTTGTCATCTGGATGGTACCAGTTTGACATTTTTACAATGCGATAAGTGGATTGAAGACGTCGGTGACCGTGCGCGCGCACGCGCGCGTGTGTGTGTGTATCTTTAGATCCGAGACTCCAGCTGTAACTATGAAGCCTTCATGAACATCCTGAAACTGACAGACAAGCCAGCGGAGCTGGAGGCCGTGAAGGATATGGTGATGGAGGAGCTGCAGTACTTGCGTTCGCTGGACACAGCAGGAGATGGTGGGGGTCATGTCGCTCACGGCTACGACAAGGTCCAGATCAATCTTGGACTAATCTCGCTTGCTTCGCTTTGTGCTTTCAGACATCAACGTGATCAAGAACCAAATCAACAGTCTTCTGTTTGTAAAGAAGGTGTGTGAGACCAGGATCCAGAGACTACAATCTGGCAAGGTAGGAATGGATTCAGGAGCTTATTAACCCCGAAGAGGTCCTTTCAACATCCACCCTCACTTGTCCACCAAAAAAAAAAGGTCATTTCATCAATATATTTTTTTTATCTGCTTTAAACAGCTGGAGCTTTAACAGCAATTTGCTCAAAACGACCAAACTTTGTGACTTTACATATCCTGTACAGATTTTGGTTTGGGGCTCTTGTGGATCGTTGCCATTTTACGATCATTCAATTCAATTCAAGCATTTGATTAGGATTGTCATGACATTACAACCCGAAAATAAGAAATAGAATGTCACAAAATGGCCAGAGAAGGTCAAAAGTAGGTGTGTCAAACTCATTTCACATTTTGGGCCGCATACGGCCTCGATAAATGTCAAGTGGGCCGGACCATTAAAATGATACCATACTCTCCTATGAATAACCAAAATATCATGTCTTTCCTTTGTTTCTGTAGAAAGAATCACAAGAACATTAGGAAAATGTTGAAATTTAATGAACCTATCTTTTACAAAACATTTGACAAAATGACTTAACTCCCTGTTTCAATTGGCTGTCTAAATCTGCTGATAAGTTCGAAATCCTCTGGTCTAGTATTCCTCGACAGGCTAATATTGGCAAAACCCTGTCGCTCCTCGGGACATACATGTTCAGCCACCTTCATCATGCATCATTTAACAAAGTCACCGTCGGAATACGGCTTTAGTGCTAATGCTATTTCGCTAGCAATTAGGTAGCTGGCTTTTACCTCTGTGTTTGGTCTGTCTCAGTGACAGACTGAGACTGCTGTTGTCTTCTAACTCCGATCAAAACAGTGTTCCCCCTAGCGGATGATCCACGAGTTGCAGCTGATTAAAAATATTCATTCTGTGTCTTTTATGTATTTTTTTCACTTTTAAAATTATCCTGCGGGCCTGATCGAACCTCCTTGGGGGCCGATTCCGGCCTGCGGGCCGTATGTTTGACACCATTGGTCGAAGACAGACAGACTGTCAACTGACAGACCGTGTCCTTGCCCCCCCCCCCCCCCCCCCCCCCCGCCTGCCGGGTAGGAAGTGGACGCTTTGAAGCTCGCGGCCAACTTCGGCAAGCTGTGCGTCATCCCGCTGGATCACATCCTCGTCCACAACATCGCCCTGCAGTTCTTCATGGGTAAATGCGTCGATGCTGTCGCCCGTCCTCAACTTCCGTTGCGCTCATGGCTTTTCTCCTGGCAGATTTCATGCAGGCAGCCGGCGCCCAGGCCGAGCTCTTCTTCTGGCTCACGGTGGAAGGCTACAGGGTGACGGCGCAGCAGCAGCTGGAGGCGATGCAACGCTGGCATAAAGACGGCAAGAGGCAACCCAACGCCACCAAGGGGCTCCTCAAGGCGGCCGCGCTGGGGGTCTTTGAGCAGTACCTCTCTGACAAGGTCAAAAATTCAGCCGCGAACAGCCTTTGGACCACCAACATCATAAATACAACTCGCCGGAATGCCACGTCTTGTAGGATGTAACGGATTTCACCCATAGTGAGAAGAACACGGGTCGATGATAGTTTGAATGATATTCTTGGGCTACGTTTAGATGATGTTCAAAGCGGACAACTTGCGTAACACGCGAAGTAGGATTTCAAACATAGATTCCTGTCACGGAAACATTTATTTAAATTACAAAATGTACCCAATTTACCTAACGAGCTTGTTCTCCCAGCAGGCCTCTCCGCGGGTTCAAGTCAACGAGGACTCGATAACACGCTTAGGGGAAAAGCTGCAGAAAGACGATCCCACGCCAGAAATATTTGACGATATCCAGAGAAAAGTAAGGAAATCATTTCCTGAATGAACTCCTAGCTTCCTCAATGATGATTCAAAAGTCCGTAACCAAGCGAATGGTCTTTTTTTTTTTTTTGCCTCAGGTGTACGACATGATACTGAAGGATGAGCGCTACTACCCGGCCTTTAAGCAGAGCCCGCTCTACGTGCGCATGCTGGCAGAGCTGGACATGCTCAAAGAGCCCAGCTACCGCGGCTCCGACGACGGCGACGGAGAATCTTTCAATGGCTCTCCCACCGGGAGCATTAACCTGGTGAAGGCCTCGCTTTGTCTCGCGAGCGTGACTGTTGTCCACAAAAAAAAAAAACAAAAAAAAAAACAACTGAAGGTTTTCTTGTCTTTTCTCCAGTCTTTGGATGACTTGAGCAACTCCTGCCATGATGAATCTATGCAGCTCCACGCTTTCATCTCTGACACCGGTATACACACACGCACACACACCAGATCGGATGTTTTGACTGGATTGACACTGCGTCCTGGTAGCAGTGACACAACCGTTTTTTTTATTTTTCTTTGCTTTTTAGTGGCACAATTTGCATATGCATCCATGGCAGTGTAAATAAGAAAAAAACCCACACACACTTGGAATTAGATATTATCCTCCTCTCAAATATGGATAAAAAATGATTGGACCCGCAGTGTGAATGCAGCCTATTTTTTCTATTGATGTGCTGATAGCCCCTTTTTTATTTTTTTTTATTTTTTGGTTTTGTTTTATCGCCCATCTTTTTTGGTGCCAAGCTCCATTTTTTTCTGTCTTCTTTCTTTGCTCCTTCCATCACCTTTGTTTTTCCGTTCTTTCTTTTCCTTTCTGTCTCCCGCCAATTTGTCCCCGTCCTTTTGCACACCCGCATGTTTTTTTTTCTTCCTTGACCCACTCCCGCTCCCTTCCTTCCCGCTTGTGGATGTATTGTCGGGTGGGGTAGCTGACGCTTGTATTCCCGGCTTGTGGGCTGCCGCAGGTGTGTGCAATGAGCATGGGAAGACGTACGCGCTTTACGCCATCACTGTATTCAGACGCAACCCGGACGGCAGCGAGGATTGCTGGAAGACGTACCGGCGCTACTCCGATTTCCACGACTTCCATATGAGGATCACCGAACAGGTCTGATTTTGCTCGGGGTGGGCGCGTGCGTGTTGCGAGTGGGAGAAATGGAGAGTGTGAGCATCTTTTACGCGCGTATGAAAGTGTGAGAGAATGTAACAGCGTAAGCGTTTGAGCCTCTTCTTTTTTCTCGACGGGCTCACATTGCCCCGTCGCACTTTTAGTTTGAGAACTTGACGTCCATCCTCAAGCTCCCGGGGAAGAAAACCTTCAACAACATGGACAGAGACTTCCTGGAGAAGAGAAAAAAAGACCTCAATGCTTACCTACAGGTATTACTCTTACATATTAGTGTCATTAATTGACATGGGTGCCCAAAATGAAGATGCATGTCACTCTATATCTGTTTTTTCTAGTTGCTGCTGAACCCCGAGATGGTGAAGGCGTGCCCGACTCTTGTCCCGTACGTCTATGACTTCCTGGAGAACAAAGCCTACAACAAAGGCAAAGGAGACTTTGCACGCAAGGTATAAAAAATAAATAAATAAAATATGGGAGTACATAGGAGTCGCAGATTCACTTTTCTGCTGTTTTATAAATGTCATGAGAGCGGTTCTGTGCTTCACGGCTCCCGGCCTGACGCTCAACGCAGAATTGCCGACAAATGCGGGTCTCTCAAACGCTCACTTGTCTTGTTGCGTTCACACACCAGATAGACACGTTTGTCAATCCCCTGCGGAGCTCCATGAGGAACGTGTCCAACGCGGTCAAGTCCCTCCCCGACAGTCTGGCCGAGGGCATGAACAAAGTGTCGGACAACATGGGCCGCATGTCCGAAAGACTGGGCCAGGACATCAAGCAGTCCATATTCAAGGTGCTCCCCGTCACCACCTGCGCTCATCGTGACAAATGTGACAATTGTCCCCTCCCTTGCAGGTGCCTCCTCTTCTTCCCAAGCCGGACATCGACCCCGAACACTGTCGAGTCTCGGCACAGTTGGATGACAATGTGAGTGGACCCGCTCAGGTGTCAGTGATTTTTTTAAATATTTTTTTTGCGCAAGTCTCCCTACCTCTTGTATTTGCGCGAGCAGGTAGACGACAACATCCCGCTGCGTGTCATGCTCCTGCTGATGGACGAGGTGTTCGACCTGAAGGAGAAGAACCAGTGGCTGCGCAGGAACATCAAGAACCTGCTGCAGCAGCTCATACGGGCCACTTACGGCGACACCATCAACAGGTCCGTCCATATAGAGACCGTATCAAAAACTTTATAAAAGCGAGTTTTTACTATTTAAAAGCAGTTTTATACATCCCATCTGCTCAAATCACATTTCGATTGAAACCAATTACATTGAACCAACTAAATGTTCAACCAAACCAAATAACAGAAATCTACTAGCTTAATTCTAATTTATGATTTGGAACACTATCGACAAGCGAACAGAAACTAGCCAATAAGTTAGTGGAATGAAAAAATCCTTCTGACTACTACTACTTAGCAGAGCAGCAGTACATACAGACATTACTCATAAGTAGACAATATATTATTTCTCTAGCTTAATTGGGGAACCTTCTCTGCTGCTGCTTCTTGCACTTAATCACATGCCGCCTCTTCCAGTCGGCATCAGCGCTCTTTGGCATGTTGCGGCATAACGTGCAACTGCGCCACTGTAAATTCAGACTTGTCTTTGTACTGTAAAAACCCATTCGAAAAAGATCCTCAAAAATCTGTGATATTGGAGGACTCACTGTCATAGGGAGGAGACCGCCCACACATCACCGTTGCTTTCTCTCCAGAAAAATTGTGGACCACGTGGACTACTTAACTTCTCCAGAGCAGGTGGCAGACTACGTCAAGAAGTTCAGGTAACGTTGTAGCTCCTTTTAGCACCCCCCCGCCCCCTCCCCAAAGGCATATGCAGGAACGATCTATCTGAATTCCGACCTCCTCCAGAGACTCCTACTGGCCTAATGGGATTCTGGCGGAGACCCCGCCTCGGCGGGACAAGAGTATCCGGATGAGGACACGAGTTGCTGCCAAGACCAGTCTGCTGGGCATCATGCCGGGTGATTACGCGCACACATAAAAAAAGAAAAAGAGGCACTAGAGAAACTTCAACTTTTTTTTTCCCAACAAAGGTTAGATTAGCTACAATTCATCTGAGACAAATTTAAAAATAATGTCTAAATAATCAGATGGGGAAATTGACCAACTCCACTCATTTGAGTGTCAAATATTATTTTCCGATCATTTGTTGACTTGTCACTTTTTGGTGACCACACGGCAGACGAGCTGAAGCACATCATCGGCGCGGAAACCACGCGCAAGGGCATCCTGCGCGTCTTCGACATGTTCCAGTACCAGCCCACAAACCGGCGGCTGGTCTACGTCTTCCTGGAGGGCTTCTTGGAGACCATGTTCCCTCAGTACAAGTTCCCCGAGCTCTTTGTCAAGCTGCACTCCCGCTCGCCGCGCATCCACAGATACAGCCACAAACTCAAAGGATCCTCCCTCAAGAGGTGACAGGAGTGGACCGAGCCAGATGGACACAGAGAGAAGTAGACACACACACACACACATGGACACACATGTTACACGCACAGACTTGAGAGCTAAATGTGACATTGGGTAAGGGGCTTAATGTGAACTTTAAGGGGTGAAGCCCTCATGTCTTCTCATTGAAAACACTCCAAATAATAATAGGGATATTACACATCACTTGCATCCCACATGACAGCGTTTTAGTCCCCCTTCGGTTTTGGACGTTTTTAGTTTTGCTGAACTGGGTCAGTCTGTGCTGTTTTTGTTTTTTTGTTTTTTTAAACTGCAGCAAGAAACAGCGTCGACCCACACCTTGCCTTACCTTCCACTTCGCTTCTACTCGCTCCCCTCTTAATGCTGTAGACATTTTTACCTGCAAAAGCTGCACTCTTTGCGTTCATAGCAACCAAATATGTCAGTAGCACTGGCTAACGAGGCGCTGTTTTTAAAAATGTGACTGAACAAATATCGGATGAATGGATTTTCTTTTTAATTGTAATTTTCACGCCTCTGAGCTTTGGTTTTTTTTTTGTGCATGTGTGTTGCATCCGACTCCCCCTCCCTGCCCCCACCACCACAGCCCCCTTTACTGTACATTATGACCCCACAAGACCAAAGCTCACAATCTTGTGCTCTGTGAAGACGTATGATGCAAATTGATGCAGTGTTGACCTCACACAGTGTGTTTGTGTATGCGTGAAGGTGCAGCTGTCCATGCAAGCACACTAAGTTCGTGTCTCTGGAAAGCCGTTTGAACGTTTAGTCGGTATCATTGATATCCATCTTAAGGTCCATGTACCAGTAGGATAGATAGATACTATCTATACACACGTGTATATATGTACATATATGCATATATGTATGCATATACCTACACGAGAAGCATGCAGTTGTCAACTAATGTGCAGCTTTTCCCTCCCTCTACGAGTGCACTGAATTGTCTCAATTGAGCATAGTAGTGCTTAAACCTTAAAATGGATTATTAAGGATATTGAATAATTGCTTGAATGGCTTTCTACACACGGCCGCGAATGTATTCTCTGCTCTGGTGTGCGTGTTCTCCAATTGTGGGAGTGAGTCGGCCTTAAACAATGCATTCGCATTGTGAACTGACAAGAAGCTCCTCCACTTGACTGATTCCTACTCCTGATGTGGACAAATATTCCAAATCAAATGAGATGGCAGACATCAGGTCTTAAATTTTGTGCAATATTACTTTTCTTGGATGCATGTGCATTTTGAAATATGTAGTGAAACAAGAGATTCATGTTCCTTACAAAACATGAAATGTTTCTCCTCATTGGCCCAACAACTTTAACATTCCATTGTACCCGTGTTTTCTTTTACAGACTTGTTTTATAAGTCACATTGATTTCCTCCCCCAAGGGTGTGGACGTTTTCCTCCTAAGGATTAACCTTTTATTAGCAAACTAGCTTGTATGGCTAATTTAGATGGGGAAGGCCCCGCCCCCTTCCCTTTTCCATCAAATCGCCTGTGACAAGTTGAATCACTGCTCTTGAGCACTTATAGTAGCAACTGTGGGGCGTAAGTCTCCCATTGGCTTGGATGGAGAACTTGCATCTCCAGTCATTGGCCGGAACTCAGCCGTGGTGGCCTGTGATTGGCTGATAAACTGAATTGTCTGTTCCCATGGTGAGACATTACCTGGAGCATTGTGCACCTCTTCATTCAGGAAGGCTTTTTGTTTCCCCTCTTAAATCCAGAATACATAAAAACGTGCATATCTGTGTACAGTTTGTCAATAGTGTGCCTCAATGTCCTGTCAACTCTATTTTCGTATTTTTCTTTAACCAAAAAAAAAACAAAAAAAAACAGCAAGAATGTCATGACTTCAAGCGACTGAAAAAGACTTTTTTTTTTTTGCATCACGCCTACCAAGAAATCCTTCCTTGAGAGCAACAGTGCTCACATCAGTACAACACTAATAAAAGGTAACTCAAGACTAACTGACGAACACTGTGTTGGTGTTTTTTTTTTTTTTTTTTTTTTTTAACCCCGTTTAACAGCGGTCGGTCTCTGCTGCCAGAAGCAGTATCCTACATTAACCTAAATTCAAATACACTGTAGTCCATGAAATGACATTGCTACTTAATATACGACTAACTCTTGTACAATCAAATGGGTCGAAATCAACTGCTGGATAAGAAGGAAGAAGTCCCCTGGTGATCACGTAATTGCTTTTTATCTCGACAAATTCCAGATACAAACACTTGTATCTATCTACAGCAAGAGAGTCCGTTTCGAAGCGCGCCCTTGTTCCCAGCATGATTCATAGTCCGTGTCCAAGCTTTCTCATATCGTCTTCCTTCGCGCTTTACCCACAGGGTCTACGATGACAACCGCTCCCCACGCGGCCAAACCTGGTCATGAGAGAAATGTCACTTGTTAATCCTTGTCCTAATGATATTCACATTGCGTCCAACTCACTTGTAGCGAAAGTAATCTGTGCGACCGTCCCCATGGAGGTCGGACCACCGAGTCGCATCACTCTGCGGGCAGCGTTGAACGCGTACAACCCAGACAGGATAAGACCACTGCCGCAGATGAGTCGACAGCTCCAGCAGCTCTTAAAAGTCTGCATGGACTTCGACATTGGGACGTCGTCTCCTGGCGGCGCCTCGGGTGTCGCCATCTTGCTGCGTATCGTATGCTAAAGCTAACGGCTATGGCGCCTGGGAACCTTGAATTCAGACGATAACTGCCGAAAGGTTACGCGGAACGGAACGCGCAGCGAGAACACAAACGGAATGCATATTCAGATTGTCATGTTTTCCAACGAAGCGCGGCTTCCTGTATTTGGGATTCCCGGAAGTTGTCATTGTTTGTCATTTTTCATGCTGACCAGGAGATGTCGCAAACGCATGTCGTTCACTTTCGTTTTTGTGTCGTGAAATTGAAGTACACAGTACTGTATAACAATTTCCACGGTACGCAAAAGCAGTCATCATGGCGGGTCACCGAGTGGCGCTTCTGTGCAAAACGCTGTTGAACAAGCAGCAGCAGAAGAAGCTTGGACAGGCAAACGTGACGTCAGGCCAGCAACTGAAATGGAGTCAGGTGTGTTAGTGATGGGATTTTCGGCTCTTTTCGGCGATGAGGTTCATTTGGTTCGGCTCAGTGAAAAGAGCCGGCTCTTTTTGGCTCTCAAACGGCTCTTTTAGCTTTCGCTTTTCTTTTAAATATTTATGACAAATTTAGCATACATTTTGAAAAATGACTTGGTGAACTAAATATTGCACTCTACTGACTGCAAATAGCAACAATTATCAAGCAAAGAAATGTCTTTTTACTTATTTTATTGAACATAAAAAAGGCTCCAAACAATAAACAAGCAACCAAATTAAACTTCAACCAACAACAATCAAACATGCTGCATCATAACAAAAATAGTGAGTATTAACTGCAACAGCAGCAGTGAACAAAACAAACATAAACTACTTCTTGCTTTATTTTAACAAACATAAGCTACTCCTTGCTTTATTTTAAATTTGCAGTCAACAAAACTAAATACTTCAACTTGGAATACCTGTACTTCAATTTGTCCAGTCTTTGAGAACACCCTCCCTGACGGGACAGATGTTGCTACAATGCACAATCTACTCTCCATTACTTTGATCAAAAAACGGGGGTAGACGGAAGCTCGGTATTTCCACCAGCTCAGTGGATCAGCTGCCCTTGAAATCTGTGGTTCTTCAAGATATGCCCTAATTTAGTGTTTTGTGTTTTTGCACGCTTGGTTTATACTATAAATTAGATTCAGATTGCTTGCCAAACGCCTTTGTGGTTTCCAGGACAGTAGGGGGCGATATGAACTAAAGACATCCAATTCACCAAGAAGAAGAATAAGTACAAGCCCTAGAACGGTACCACATCCGGTTCAATGAGCAAGTTTTTCCGCTGTCCACAAGCCCTGTTCTCAGTGAGTAATTTTAAAGAAGTACAATTCAACTGAAAAAAAAGACTGATGCCTTTGAAATATGACATACCTCTCATGGTGTCACAAAAATTTAAATCCTTTCAGAGGGTGTGCACACTTGTGCAACATTATTTCAGTTTATTTGTATTTGGGTATTAATTGTTTTCAAGGTGTACAATTTATATGGCATATTAGTGGTGGAAGGTTTTGAAATGTTTTTGCTTTTTTTAATATCACAAAAACCTGATATTTGAACACGCATGTGTAGACTTGCCCACAATCTGTGTTTGTATATAAACTGGATAAGTTTGAATCCTGTTTTAAAGAAGAAAAAAAATCTAGATTTTCAAACGGTCAAAAAAATACAACTGTTCAAAATTGTTTTATTTTTAAAAAATAGGGAAAAGCAGAATAAATCCTTTTTTTTTTTTAGATTTCAAACGGAACAATGTGATCTACTGTTTGTTCTCATACGATAACATTATGCTTACAATTTTTTACTCTCAGCTTTTTTTGTTTTTGTTTTTTTTTGCTGTAAAGTAATGGCAACAGAATGAATTGTATGCGTTTTTTTTTTTCCATTTCCCATTCTTTCAAAAATCAAAAGAAAAACATAAGGCCTGCAGAATGAGCTTGTCTTTTTTTTCTTTCTTCCAGATCCTAACAGGTCAGTTCGACCGACAACATAACTGGAGGGGAAAAGAGTTCCCAGGCGTGATTCAGGTCTCCTGACCTTGGGTCAAAATAGAGCAAGTTTGAAAGTGAAATGTTTTCATAGTATGTCCCCTTTAACTTGATTTGCATATATTCATGTGGGTGGTTTTTTTTTTTTTGGTTGTTTTTTTTTTTAAATGGATGTGTTTAGTTAGTACGGATTGGTCGCACTGTATGATAAAGCGAGGCGACCGTTTTCTGCGTTTGTCACTCGGCGATAATACCAAAGCGTCGAGTCGCCTTTTGACGAATTTACTGTCATACAGTAACACACACGCGTCAACGGTCAGTGATGGACGTCTGTATATACTGTAGCTTACTTACCATAATTAGCTTGTGGCACAACTTAGAGTTCACAATGAGGAAATATGCACATACTTATATAAGAATCTAAATATAAATAACGTTGTCCCACTCCGACGCTTTGACAATAAAACACCATTTTGTATGTGTTTACTGTGTTTTTGTTGCTGTGTTCGGAGCGCACCGTTTAAGCGTTAAAGGCCACACACAAAAGGAAAGTCAAAGACAAATACCAGATTGAAGTTGTCATTTCGTGACAAAACAAGCTGTACTTCTACCAGAATGAAGTCATTGTGATT